AAAAGCAGGAAAATCTCCACACTGTCTTGGTGCACCTTCTGGAAAATGCCCTCCTCCACCAATACAGTACTGCAAAACAAACATATTCAGACAGTAAGGAACCCCATTTCTTATATTACAGCTACCAAGTCACCTGAACCAGGAAAACAAACTCCACAGAATATCTTTTTCTTTGTTCAGGTGCAGGTGAGAAAATACTGGACAAATCCATGAGTTCATTTGTTAACTTACGTGTTCTGTATTGCAGCCAGTTGGCCTGACTCCAGAGCAGATCGCCATGGCCGCCTTCTCATTGTTAAACACTCTGAAAGTGATGAAGCCAGGCTCAAACTCTCCTGAAAAGATTCATATTGAACTATTAGTTGCCTTTTTTTTCTGCATAAAGCTGAATATTAAAGATATGAGATACCATGGATCTTTGAAACGACAATGAATTGATTTGGCTCATTTGCCTGTTTGTGATGATGATACAAATGAGTCAAAGTTGACATGGAAAAAACAGTCTACTAATTTTTACCAAAAATAGCTCCAAATTATACTCATCACTGGTTGAGAAATAAAATGCCAATATATATATAGGGTAAACCTTCTGTCTTAGAACGATATTTTTAATGAAATCTTTCCAGTCTCTCACTGTAATGATATTGTGGCGACTGCTTTGTGTATAAAGGATGTTCTTAAGGGCACTGCAGCTCAGTTCACATTCAGCACAGCTTCCGCACTGTGTGTTTTACCAAATAAAGAGCCTGGTTTGGGTTCACTGCAGAATCTCCTGCCTCATTCTTCACCATCATCTCTACAATATCATGCTATCTGAGCGAAATCAGTGACATAGCATTTGAAAATCGATTTTGACCAATGTATATGTTTCAGTGTTCAGTATGTCACTTTCATCCTATTGCCTTACATCTTTTGTCATGGTGGGCCCGAAGACCCCACCTGTGCAGGCTATATCAAGCCAGCCCAGGAGTTGTGGGCCATGTCCACATTGCTGAAGGTGAAGTGGGAAGCAAGGAAAGTACTTCAGCACCAATGTTGTGGACAGCAGACTTCACGTGGCCAGGACTTGATCACACCCTCATGCTGCACGGCTGGGACGTGCAAATGAGAGACCAGCTGCACCTCATTTTGATAGCCCAAGGCTTCCCTTTATAACCAGAGCCTTTGGACAGAAAGGGTGAGTCATGCTGGGCTACAGATCGCTGTCCTTATCTTTACAAACTCACTGCTGTCAGATGGATGGCCTTGGGAAACCTCCAGCTCCCCCCTTGATGGCTATGCTAAAAGCCTCTGCCGCCTGAACTTCTGCCCTCTTGAGCGTTTTTCTCTTTTTCTTTTTTTGTGGCAAAAGATCCTAGCTACCCCAGAAGCTTTTATTTTTTTGTTTGTTATTTCATTTTTCCTTTTTGAGCCAGCTGGCCTTATTCTTTAACTATACCACTCTTCATCAAGTTGGGCTACAGACAGTGGTTTTGTGTTGTTTGCAAAATAAGTGGTCCAAATATGCCAACAAATGTTAGTAGAAACGTTGAAGGATGTTGACAAATACCTCTCGAGTTTGGACCATAAAGGTTCCTGGTAGAGGCTTCATTCCCGGTATCGTAAACCACTGGAACAGCAGGTCCGCTATCAATACGACAAGCTCCTATTCCAAATCTCACCGGGAATTTCTGAAAGGAAATGAAACCCAAAGCCAACCCTTATAAAGACTGATAAGAGTAATAAAACCTTACTTGATCTCTACTTCTTCATAATTGATCAGTTTAATTACACAGCAGTTTGAATTTAACCAGTCGGAAGGGCTGATGTCCGGACCAGCTGATCAAAAATACCGCAGTCCATTTGACAATCAAAGTCAAATTGCTGGGCGAATTAGCAGCAGCTTGTGCTGCAAGAACAATACGAGCGTCCATCAAGAACCAAATGTTAAAACATGCACATTATGCAGAACATTTTTACCTTACACTCTTTAAAAGGTGGTTCTTTTCTTCTTTAGTAAAAAAATGGTTCTGTGTAAAACTATGTTCACTCTTTGCATGATTAAAGGGTTCTTTGCTTCATGAAAGGGTTCTTCAGATTAATAGACAGTATGCTGTAGAGGGTTCTTCTATTGTTACAAGCTTGACATCGTCACAATAGAAGAACCTTTTTGGTGCTATAGAGAACCATTTTCAAAATGGTTCTAGATAGAGCCATATACAACGTATTGTTCATCAATCTGAAGAACCCTTGAAGTACACTTTTATTTATTAAAGAACACTTGAAGAACCATCTTTTTAAGAGTGTTCAAAATATAGGTCAAAGTCAATGCAGATATATTCAATTGGCACCCACACTGCTGTTTACAAAGCCTTAAAGACAGTTCTGTACACTGTCACTGGGATGGTAAATCTAAACGGTACATCTTCAGAGCCTTTAGTTAGGGAATGTAACTGTACAATGTACCCTATTATTTAAATTACACTGACTCAACCTTTTTTATTAATGTTAAGTTCTTGTCTCTGGGATAGTGAATGTAGTATACCTTTAATTATTACTTATGATACACAATTGGGCCTTTCAGGATTGTGATGCACTTCTGAGGGTACATTTTTGTTGTTTGTATATTGGGTACATCAGGGCCTCGGTATACATTCAGCCACATGTACAAATATTAAAAGTCTGATTGTTTTACCCTGAATAAGAAGAAAAGATTTCCTCCATGAAGGCTGAGAAAGCGGTTGTCGGTGTGGTAGCGTAAGATAGAAGCAGTGCTCCAGTGTTTTAGCTGAATGTTATTAGGAACATGCCACACCGCCACATCCTGTGCCGCGATGTTGTAATACCCAGGATTCTGTAAGAAGTAAGAGTGATGGAATGTTAGGGCAGAGCAGATATCCACAAAGCATCTCAGAGCAGGGATGCCAGTTTAGGATTCGTATTTGAGCCTAAGAACTATGTAAACAGCAGAAGAATCTAATCGTAGAACAGGAAATGAGCCCTAGTCCTTCTGCAGGCACCCACTGTGTTTATCTTTTTTTTTGCTTCCAAGATGCACTACAATGTCCAAAAGTATTCAGAAACAGGTACCACATCTCACCTTGTAGTCGTCACTGGTAGCAGCCTCTGCAGATCCAAATGTGACTCGATTAGCCCATGTTCCATCTCCTTCTGGAAGGTTGGGGTTACTACCTTGCTGGCTCGACCAACGATCACCTAAGGTGCATTTCCCATACAAGTTGTTCTCGTGTACACTGGCCACCAGCGTCCAGCCACCTCCAGCTGTGGTCATATCACAGTAGGTCTGGTAGACCACCCCAGTCTCCGTTGTAAGATAGTACAGCCCATCTGTTCATACACAAACAATACCGATCCAAATTATCTTCATGCACTTTTTGGAAAATGTCAGAATAAAGCAATGCCAGTCTTACCTTCAAGGATTCGATACTTGTCTCGGATTTCTTTGCAGCTTCAAGCCACATATCTAATCCTCTCAAGAAGTTTCTCTACCTCATTGTTGGATTTAGTGTTATTGATTTCAATACATGGAGCCTGTGCTTCCTGAATTACATACATTGCACTCACTGTAACAACAAAACAACATTTGGTATGAGTTTGTGAAAAATGCCATGAATGAGAATGTAAGCACAGTTAAAACACATTCTGTCACATTCAGGTTTGATTAGCAACTCTAATGACAAATTAGATCTCTGAGGTTTGGATTTTGATCCTTGATTTTAATTAATAGTTTAAGATCATACTTTGTATCTTAGTTGTGGAGGTAAAGTTTACTTACCTGATTTGGATTCACAGAGGTGCAGGTTCACTGAGAGACATATCAACAGAAATCCCACTGACAGCATGCTTGCAAAAAAGACTACATGAAAAAGTATTATATCATAATTTATAAAATATAAGTGTAGAACACCATACACGTATTTCGTTTTCATACCCTTCCATAATATGTTAAAATATTAGATTTACCTGTATGATCCAACATTATGTTGAGATGAATGAGCCTTAATGATTGTTCTCTTTGAGAAATCAAGCTTATTTAAGGTGTCACTTTATCTCTTGCAGTGTTGACAGTAATCATAAGGAAGTAATGTATTATTAACTTTTTGGAAGGTAATATTGGAAGGTAATTTATGGTTATGAGCTAGATAAGTAATTAAAATGTCACTTGTTCAGCTGGGTGCACTCCCCAACACCAAAGTCCCTAGTCCTCCTGTTGGGACACCCACCAAGAAGGAAGTGGAAGAGTGGAGGTGAAAGATCAAGGCTACTGGAGCTAAGAGTTCTCACCTGCCAGTACTCAGAACTCAAGAGAACTGAACATACAAGAAAGCCAATATTCATGGGTGCTGGACCTGTTTAGCTGATGTGGAGCATCCGTTGACATATCAGGGGCCACGATTCACCTTGAGACAGATACACTATATTGCCAAAAGTATTCAGTCACCCATCCATATCATTGAATTCAGGTGTTCCAATCTCTTCCATGGCCACAGGTGTATAAAACCAAGCACCCAGGCCTGCAGACTGCTTCTACAAACATTAGTGAAAGAATGGGTCGCTCTCAGGAGCTCAGTGAATTCCAGCGTGGTACCGTGATAGGATGCCACCTGTGCAACAAGTCCAGTCGTGAAATTTCCTCACTACTAAATATTCCACAGTAAACTGTCAGTGGTATCATAACAAAGTGGAAGTGATTGGGAACGACAGCAACTCGGCCACAAAGTGGTAGGCCTCGTAAAATGACAGAGTGGGGTCAGCGAATGCTGAGGCGCATAGTGCGCAGAGGTCACCAACTTTCTGCAGAGTCAATCGCTACAGACCTCCAAACTTCATGTGGCCTTCAGATTAGTTCAAGAGCAGCACATAGAGAGCTTCATGGAATGGGTTTCCATGGCTGAGCAGCTGCATCCAAGCCTTACATCACCAAGCGCAACGCAAGGGTCGAATGCAGTGGTGTAAAGCGCCGCCACTGGACTGGAGTGACCAATCACGCTTCTCCGTCTGGCAATCCGATGGATGAGTCTGGGTTTGGCGGTTGCCAGGAGACGGTACTTGTCTGACTGCATTGTGCCGAGTGTAAAGTTTGGTGGAGGGGGGATTATGTTCCAAATGGTGTCTTTTGGACTACACGACCACATAAAATTGTTACATCCTCAGGAAACTGGGCATGCCAGAGGATTTTGTTGTTCTAATAAGGAACCCCTATACTGATCAGTAAGCCAAAGTCATGACAGAAAATGGACAAACTGAATGCTTCCACATTGGCAAGGTTTCCCACTATCCCCATGCCTGTGAAACATGTATGCTAAACATATAATAAGAGAAGCAGGACCGATGATTGACAATTCAAGATTGGTGGAAAAAATCAGTAACTTTCGAATGACAGATAACGTGATGACACTCTTAGCGGAAAATGACAAAGGCCTGAATGCACTTGTGACTTCAGCTCAATATGAAGAAAAAACCTTACCATAATGAAAAAATTAATGGAACTTTGCTGTGGGTCATGTACAGGATTTCAAGGGGGTTTCAATGTTCTGGGCCATATTGTTAGCTCTTACTGGTCCAGTGAACATGGCTGCAGACACAGACTAGATATTTTAAAATATCTCTATTGTCAACACCAGTGCAAGCAATGTGGATATATGTGTGGTGCTGTCCCAGGAATAGAAGCCTAGAGAATATGAAGTGACACACTTTGCCATACCTTGAGTCATTCTAGGAATTTCTAGCAGTGGTTTAAGCTTTGTGCCTTCTTTTTGCAGGTCCTGCATCCTCATGTGGCTTCTCAATTTCAGGTGACCAGAGAGATGGTTGGCTTTATAGGCCAGCTGGTGTGCATGGTCCAAAGACTCTTAGCCCCAAAAGTATGTCTTATGGCGGATTCATGGCTTGGTGCATGGTTAAGTTTAGAATCACTGAAATGCTGTATTAGTTTCAAGGTCAATTTTACTTGGCAGGCTGCAGAGAGGTTATTGTGCTCCATATTCACTGCCTCGACCTCTGGAATACTCACCAGGGATTGACAAAATATTTGTATGTCCCAATGCAGCATATTCTGCCCCAGTAAAGTGGCCCCACACTACATGGGGCCATGTAGTGTACCTGAGGCGAGGCATGTAGTGCTGTTTTATGGTAGTCCTCTTAGCATGATTTGCATATTCATTATTTGAAAAAAACTCAAGCAAAGCAAAGCAGCAGGACCTTATGGCATTGAACCTAGGGTACTGAAACAGTGCGGAGCAGCTGTGTGGAATTCTTCAGCACATTTTTAATCTGAGCCGCAGCCTGAAGAGAGTCCCAGTTATGTGGAAAACATCTTGTGTGGTTCCTGTCGCCAAGAAAAGGCAACCGATAACACTTCATTAAAATGCTAATGAAGACACTTAAAAGACTGATGCTAGCTCATCTGAGATCTCTGGTCAGAACAGCTCTTGACCCTCTGCAGTTTGCATATCAGGATGGCATTGGAGTGGATGATGCAGTTGTCTATCTGCTGGACAGAACGTACTCTCACCTGGACACATCAGGCAGCACTGTGAGGATCATGTTCTTCGATTTCTCCAGTGCATTTAACACCATACAGCCTGTGCTGATAGGGGAGAAGCTACGGCTGATGCAGGTGGATGAATCTATCATCGCATGGATAATGGACTACCTGACTGGACGACCCCAGTATGTGCGACTGCAGGGCTGTGTCTCAGACAAGGCTGTGTGCAGTGATGGGGCACCACAGGGGACTGTGTTAGCTCCATTCCCGTTCAACCTGTACACCTCTGACTTACAACACAGAGTCGTGTCATCTGTAGAAATTCTCGGATGACACGGCCATCGTGGGGTGCATGAGGAATGGACAGGAGGAGGAACACAGGAAGCTGGTGAAGGATTTGTTGACTGGTGTAAGCTGAACCAGCTGCAGCTAAACATCAGTAAGACTAAGGAGATGGTGCTGGATTTTAGGAAGTCCAAACCTGCCCTGTCACCAGTCACCATTGATGGAGTTGATGTGGAGGTGGTAGAGATGTACAACTATCTGGGTGTGCACTTGGACAACAAGCTGGACTGGAGCTGTAACACTCTTGCAGTGTACAAGAGAGGCTAGAGCAGTCTCTACTTCCTGAGGAGGCTGAGGTCTTTTGGTGTGGGCACTAAGCTCCTATGCGCTCTAAACAAAATAAATAAGCTTATTAGGAAGGCTGGCTCTGTTGTAGGAGTCAAGCTGGACTCTTTTGAGGTTGTGGCAGAACAAAGGATGCTCAACAGCTGTTAGCCATCTTGGACACACCTCACACCCCCTGTTCTTACCCACTGCTATACGGCTCTACAACGTGGCTCCTTACTGCAGAGATGGTACTGATCTCTGAAGAATCCAAACCCTCACTGTACCAGGGGAACCAGTCTGAAGAAAAAAAAAAGAAGTTTATTCATTGCAGCCTGAACTGAGCTGAACCACATCACTATATCATCTCTCCTGTTAATACTCACTGCGCAATATATCATAACTGCTACTGTAATGACTCTCACTGCACACTTTACACTGTAATATTGCTGCAACTCCTAGTTATGTCTATACTCATTGTGCTCTTAGACAAATCTGTCTTATATGCTATGTAAATATGCAAATAGATATATCTCTATTCCTATTTTCTTATACTTTAACTTATGTCTATTTTTTTGTCTATTTATTCTGCCTAATGTATGTCTATATATGTCTATCTGTCTATGCAATCTATCATTTTTCCAATTGGAATAACTAGTTACCATTTTTCTCATTTACTTGTTTGATTGTTTGATAAGTCTTGTGTTGCTTCATTATTTTGACATCATATTTTATTTATCGATCATATCAACTCACCGTTTGCTACAATGTTATTCATTAAGGAATGACCAAGTTGCTTATCATTTACCTTGTGTTTATGTTTTTGTAAGCTGCATTGTAAACAAAAATGAAAGTTTTGAAAGAGGAAAAAAAATGTTCATGATAATCTTTATAAGTTTTTGACACAAATCAAAAGAAAAAAGTTTGCGGAAATAAGCGCAAACACACACACACACACACACACACACACACACACACACACACATTTATCCTGTGTGCCACTTATCCTTCTCGGTCGCAGGGGGAGCTGGAGCCTATCCCAGCAGTCATCGGGCAGGAGGCAGGAAACACCCTGGACAGGTTGCCAGTTCATTGGAAATAAATATGTTTTTCCAAATATTTCATGGCTCTTTCATAAGACAGTAAAACATTACCTGCTACACTATCTACTACAGTGGTATTTTTAGGGTTGTGTTTTCTGCAAACATGAAATGGTGAGAAGCTGTTGGTCTTGATGCCAAGGGTTCCGCTTCAGGAAGTGAAACTTATCTTGACAGGAACCATAAGGAAGTATTGCTTGTGTTTATTATGGCTTAACAAGAAAAGATGTTTTAGTTTTCTACTGATAGAAAAGATTAAGTATTTTACGTTGTCTGCCATATGAATTTGCACAATGTAAAAAACATGGAAATGTTTAATGACTTGGATTGCACATGCTTGGCCATCATTTATAGAAACGATAAAGGTATAAGCACCTTTCTATGTCAAACAAGAGAAATTCAAACATATGGATCTTAGTAGCCGAGCAATATTTTCATGCTATACAAAAACAGGAGGAGATGCATGATAGATTAGGTCTGGTGTTTTTTAGAAGGCCTTACATCTTACACTTTTTACACAAAATATATTTTCAGAAACTCAGAGCTTTCAGAAGAGTTTGCATCATGTAATTGGTTTCATAAGTAAGCTGATAAGGTTTACATTTTATACATTTGTCCCGCAAAGTTATTTATAATCTGGTTTTACTTCTTATGGGACCCACCAAACCTGCCTGCTGATGACTAAATCTTGTTTTGATTTATGTTTTTGTTATAAAGGAACTGAAGTTTGTTTTTCTTTTCGTCTTTAACTTTGTCATAAACTAAGAATCAGAAAGTCATATTAAAAAGCTAAATCAATAAAATCAGCTTTCAAGGAAAAGTGTAAAAAGGGCTAACACCACCGCTGCTGAGGGACCAGCGCAAGCCAAGGAGAGAGAGGTTGGCTGCATGCTAGGCTAAAGGCTAGAGTTAGCCAAACAAACTAGATGAGCCAGGATAACATCACAACGCATAATAAGGGCCCATATGAAAAAATATATGTATCTTGTGTATGTGTTTTCAAATGTATTTATCAAATGTATTTATCAAATATGTTTTTGCAATATATAAAAATGGCCAAAAAATGTACAACCCATTTCCAAAAAAGTTGGGACGCTGTGCAGAATGCAATGATATGCAAATAATTTAAACCATATTTTTAAAGGAAAATACTACAAAGGTGACATATGTTGATACTGAGAAATTTTACTGTGTTTTGAAAAATATATGCTCATTTTGAATTTGATGCCAACAACACGTTCCAAAAAAGTTGGGATGGGGGCCTGTTTACCACTGTGTTTCATCACCGGTTCTTTTATCAACACTCTGTAAGCGTTTGGGAGCTGAGGAGACACTGCTGTAGTTTAGAAAGTAAAATGTTTTCTGTTCTTGTTTGATAAAGGTTTTCAGCTGCTCATCAGTTCAGGGTCTCCTTGGTTGTATTTTTCATTTTATAATGTGCCAAATGTTATCAGTGGTGACAGGTCTGGACTGCAGGCAGGTCAGTTTAGCACCTGCACTCTTTTAATACAGAGCAATGCTGTTGTAATACATGCAGAATGTGGTTTGACATTGTCTTGCTGAAATAATCAAGGCCTTCCCTGAAAAAGACGTCGTCTGAATGGCAGCATATGTTTCCAAAACCTGTATATATCGTTCAGCATTAATGGTGCCTTCATAGATGTGCACGTCACCCATGCCATGTGCACTAATGTACACCTATACCATCATGAATACTAGCTTTTGAACTGTGCATTAACAAGCTGAGTGGTCTTTAGCCCTGAGGATACAATGTCTATGATTTCCAAAAAGAATTTCAAATGTTGATTCGTCAGACCACAGAACACTTTTCCACTTCCACTAAATGAGCTCAGGCCCAGAGAAGGTGGCAGCGTTTCTGGATCCTGTTTATGTACAGTTTCTTCTTTGTGTTTTATAGTTTTAACTTGCATTTGTGGATGCAGTGATAGTGTTTTTACAGACAGTGTTTTTCAGAAGTGTTTCTGAGCCCATGCAGTGATTTCCACTGCAGAATCATGTCTGTTTTTAATGCAGTGCCGCCTGAGGGCCCAAAGATCACGGCCAGCAAATACTGGTTTTTGGCCTTGTCCCTTACATACAGAGATTTCTCCAGATTCTCTGAATCTTTTGATGTTGTTATGTAGCATAGATGATGAAAAGCAGAAAGTGCTTTGCTATTTTATGTTGAGAAACGTTATTCTTGAATTGTTGCACTTTTTGATGGTGCAGTCTTTCACAGAGTGCAGAATCCCTTCTCATCTTTACTTCTGAAAGACTTAGCCTTTCTGGTGGGTGATTTAAAATTTAAGGACAGTTCTACACAAATTTTCCACAAGAGAGAATAAAACTCTGGACCATGTTTATTGGTTACTTACATGGTTACTTACGAGGCAGCACCCCACTCAGACTTCGGATGATCACACCACATCTCTTTGTTTCTCTAACTGATTGATAAACCAATCAAATGGGTACAACTGAGTGTTCATCCAAGATATTACTGGTAACACTTTCTATGAATGTCACATTTGTAAGCATCTATAAATGCATATATAAGGTGTCATAAGCATGGCTATAAATAGTGCATTCAAAAGGTGTAATAAACATGACTATAAATATTTATACAAATGTATTACGAGTTATAGCCATGCTTATTATGCATCATGTATTGTTAACATACTGCATTATAAGTACTGTTCCTATATTTGTCAGCTCTAAGTAAAGTGAAGCGTACTGTACTAAAGCCTCCTCCAGTGTTCAGAGTGAGGCTTCAAGTTGAAGTATTTACTGAAGGATTTACTGAAACACTAAAACATTCACAGTAAAGCACATTACAGGCTTCAAATGTCAGAGTTTAAACTAGAGCTGCCATCAGTGTTTTACCCAATGTGGGAAAGTCAATGTACACCACCGTTAGCTCGGCACTAACTTAACACTACATATCCAATAGAATGCTAGCAGAAATCAGCATTACTGTACTGTAGTGTGATGTCACAGAGTGAAGGGTTCTAGTGCTTGTCGTTAGAACTAGTGAGGGAACAAATTACAATGACAACACTCTACTATCAAGTATAACATGTTATTAACACTACTGATAAAGCATTATGTTAACAATTCATAATGTATAATAAACATGGCTATAAAGTGTAATTCAGTGTAATTCATTTTTATAAATATTTATAGCCATGTTTATAACACCTTATGAATGTATTATAAAATGTTATGAATGTGTGTATACACGCTTTAAAACATGACATTCATAGAAAGTTTGACCGTATTACTCAATAAAATTTCCTCACTTTGGACCAATCAGAATGAATTTTGTGGCATTTTCCTCATCATACTAATCAGACATGATTTGACTGTTATTAGATATTAAGACCTTCACATATGCAGACATTTTCTATATATATACCAATGCATTATTAACAGTCTTGGTCCTTTGCCAGGGGTGTAGCAGCATTTTTGCTCCTGTGAAAAAATTACAGCTGATAATCGAAACACGCTAACTGCAGAGTCATAAACTCTAACTTTGCTCTTTCACCTGTGCTGACAGCTGCAATAAGCTCACCTGACTTGCTGTTGAGAAATCACCAGGTGTTTATTTTGGCATGTGTACCTACATTTCCCCCCCGCAGAAAGAAGTCTGCGGCTGTGTTCCAGTATCTCCACTCATGCTAAGCTAGTACATAGAACTCTCTCTGCCATTACTAATGTTGGGTGGTTTACCACAGCATAACTAAGGTAAAATATTAACTGAAACATCTGTCTGTTCAACCCCGTCTCCTTCCTCTCCTGTACTGCAGTATCATTGAGCCAGTTACTCTGTATGGTGCCGTCTGTTTTTTCAGAATGCTGTCAGTTTCTAATAAGAATAAATTCATAAAGACAACTAACCTTGCCTGCAAACTCATCTGTACTCCCACCCACAGCTGTTGTCACCTCATCCCTGATCACATATGATCCAGAACAGCCACTCCACCAGCACTTTGTGCACTGTCCTTCAGGTCGTAAGTACAAACAACCATTTGGGCATTACATTACTGCTGGAGATGCTTCACCGCCGACTACTGATGAGATTGAGTTTTTTTACGTTTGTATTGTTAGCTAATCGACTCAGTTTAAACCTAGTACTTACATTTAAAGTGTCTCTTCAGCTGCTGTTTACTCCTCTGCTTATGCCGCCATGTTCTTAGATCCTCGCTGGCGAACCTTGGGATATGTTGGCTGGCGAAGGATGCACCCCTCGGCCACATGTGAAGGAGCCTTAGAAATGGGACAGCCTAGTCGCGCCACTGTGACGCAATCAGCCGCAATTGAGTCTGAGTTGAGTCTTGAGTCTCTAAGGTCAGTCCTTCAGGTAATAGCTTCTGTTATATATGCACCTACTGTATTAGGAAGTGCTTTCACTCGTCTTTTCTTGTTTTAATGATTTTGTTTACACATCAGTGATCAGTGCTGAATTATACAACAGTTAGTTCCGGCCACACAAGCTGATTAGTTGAGAGTCGTTCTAACCGTGCTGTCATTTCACCATAACATCACAGGTTTCTCACAAACACTGTATCACTCCGCTGAGACGCTGTTGCTAAGCAACGACTTTGACAGCTGTAGGAGACGCTCAAGACATTTGAACGTTTTTACTTCTTAGTTTGCCTCAAACAGAAAATGGACACTTTTAAGATCACATTTGACCGACAGCCAATTTGGTCAGACTCTGAAGATGAGACGACACTAAATTCCCAAACTGTCATCACCACTGAGCAGCTTTTCAGTCGGCAGCTGTGACAGAAGAACAGCTAAACAACCTGGAATCAGCCAGAAATGAACCCAATACCATTCGCCAAACGTGTAGTCTGATCTTCAGAGTCTGACCAAATCAGACTGAGCCATAAAACTACCACAATATCAAGTTTAGCTCAGTTTTGTCAGTTTTTGCCAGATCAATATTAATGTTGTTTTGTTCCAGCCAGTCTGTAAAGCATCTTACAGCCCATTTAGTTTGGCGAATGGTGTTGGGTTCATTTCTGGCTGATTCCAGGTTGTTTAGCTGTTCTTCTGTCACAGCTGCCGACTGAAAAGCTGCTCAGTGGTGATGACGGTTTGGGAATTTAGTGTAAGGAGCTGGAGAACGAACTGCCGGCTGTGCAGCGAGTGGGCGGAGCTCGTTACTCTGACGTAGCAACAAGCTGCTCATTAAGGAACTATAATTTGGTGAAGGAACTGAACATTAAAACATATTAAACGCCGCGTTCACGGCCCAGTTTATTAATTTATTACTGTATTTATTTAACTGTTGTATTAAAGCAGTAGAACACTCGAGGAGTGTGTTATCACCAATAACATCACGGCTGTGATGATCTACGGTGACCAAATCACAGCCGTGATGTTATTCCACGATAACACACTCCCTCTTGGGTTCTGTTGCTTAATTGTACTGGGCTGAGCCCTGGATCATTACATGCCCAGCCAGCCCCCCGGTCACCTTTCACCTAGTTATACCCTGATGGAGATACCCGAGTCCAGCTCCAGAACCACAGGCCACCACCATGGACAGGTAGATGGTAAGATAGATTTGAGACGGGCATAAACATCCTGATCTCATCTCTCAGCGTCTTAAGAACAAACCACAAACCTCACAGACACACAAAAGCAATAGATCTTTAGTCGGTTCTTTAGGACAGTGGTTCTATGTATGTGGCCAATGACTGTGTTTTTGAAAAAGACCATTTTAAAAGTGGTTTAAAAGGCATGGTGTGCGTTTTATATCTTATATATAGTTCATATTATCAAAGCTTTTAACTGCCTAGTTTCAGTTATTAAAACGCATTTTCATGGTTCTCCTGAAATCTGACCACCTGACATGGTAAACTGAACTGTTCTGACCATGACCTGAAAATCACACTTTTTACTACATTCGTGACCTTGGCATTGCACCATGAAGGTCACTTGGGGTCCTCTTTATGATGCAATACCCTGGCCCCTCTTTTCTGAAAGCATATCAAAGTTTTTAATGAATTGAGCGCTTTTAAAGTTGCTTTGTTTTGCAACATGGATTTTATTTTAAAGTTGAGTCAAAAATAAAATCATGGGGAACTGTTTTATTTAGAATTTTATAAATAAATTACCCTTTTTGATCATTTACTTAATCAACATACATGGTTGGACGGTTGCACCACCTGACATTTTTAGATTTTTAGAGGCAAAAAGAAACTAAAATTAATTTTATATGGAAAATCTTTTTCACATTAAAGAGGTATTTTTGAATAATTTAATATGTCATGTATTTATTAAATTATTTTTGGGGAAAATCGTGGACTTTGACACCAACAACACATGATGTATGGTCGTGTCAATGACCCTGGAACCGTGAACATTCAAAGAACCATTTGCCATAAATGGTTCTTTGCATGGTGAAGAAGTTCTTCCGATTGATGAGGAATGTGTTGTTTATGGTTCTATGTAGCAACAAATAGGTTTCAATTGTTACATATGTTACAATGTCAAGTTTGTTACAATAGAAGAACCCATTTTGGTGCCATATAGGACCCTATACAACACATCCTCCATCGATCTAAAGAACCATGACTGTTTATTTACTGAATTTAACATATTGGACAAAAAATAAAACGTAAAAGGCAGCCTGTGCAAAAGATATGGCACATTTTATAGTTTGTTTTATTCCTTTTCTAATATGTTAAACTCGGGAAATAGAAATGCTATAAACTTTGGTCTGAAATAAAGTCCTAAAGCTCGAAAGAGAGAGTTGCGATGAATCACAAAGCAGCACAGATGCTTTCACCCATAGAACAGGAAGAAATTAAGACAAAAACAGGAACAAGGCCCTGAATCTGAAAGACTGATGTGGAACTGAGTAAAAAAAGCAGATTCTTTCTTTACTGTCCTCACTAATACACGTTTACAGAGACAGTGAGTATTAATCCCTTAGTAGAACACAAACCCATTAACATTTTAACTGAATAAAGTGTCTGTATCCGCGTAAATAGAACCACCTCCCGCCCCTAACCAGAGTGCACTACATAGTCTACTAGCGAGTAGGCTGATTGGAACGCGCCCTCTATCGTTAAACCAGCCGCAGCGGTCGGAAGAGTCCATCATTACAGAAAGCGGGGGGAGGAAGTGGAAGAGCCTATCATGGAAAAAGGGGAAATACAGACGTCTGGCGAAGAGAAAAGGGAGGAGGGAGTCGCAGCGGATGATATGGCATCTAAAAACCAATATGGATTGATTTTTCCCGCTGTAATTGTGGCTTTTCTGGCCCTGTGTGTGGCTCCTCTCACAGCTGATCTCCCCTGTAAGTAGCCGTGACTGTGTTTATCGGGTTTAGTTATGCTCAGGCGAGCTGGGCAAAGTACACACACTCTCTCAAAAAGCGAGCATAAATAGACAAATTACAACCGACTTTAGTGTAAATTCGCCGTGTAATGCTTTTAGGATGCGTAAAGCTGTGAATAAAGCTGACTGGCCGTGTTGACAGCGAGCTCTTCTCTTTTTTTAGCTGATCTGTTTGGGTTTAGCCTGCTAGGTAGCTAAGCTACAGCTAAAATAAATTGTTGTAACTGAACCGGTCAGTCAGGCTTATTTTCACTGGACTACATTAAAATACAGAAGGTTTATTACAACTGGTTTACCCTCAGAGAACAGCCGCAGACATACACATCAGCTCGTATAAAACAAATACAGTAAAACTAACCTGCAAAATCAGAGCTATTGACCAAAACTGCCTTCATCTATAAACAAAACCTGATTATAGTCAGTCTGTAACCTTCATCTATGAACAAAACCTGATTATAGTCAGTCTGTAACCTTCATCTGTAAACAAACCCTGATTTATAGTCATTCTGTAACCTTCATCTATCAACAAAACCTGATTATAGTCATTTCATTACCTTCATCTGTAAACAAAACCTGATTATAGTCATCTATCAATAAAACTTGATTAGTCATTCTGTAACCTTCATCTATCAACAAAACCTGATTATGGTCAGTCTGTAACCTTCATCTATCAGCAAAACCTGATTATAGTCATTCTGTAACCTTCATCTGTAAACCCTGATTTATAGTCATTCTGTAACCTTCATCTATCAACAAAACCTGATTATAGTCATTCTGTAACCTTCATCTGTAAACAAACCCTGATTATAGTCATTCTGTTACCTTCATCTATCAACAAAACCTGATTATAGTCATTCTGTCACCTTCATCTGTAAACAAACCCTGATTATAGTCATTCTGTTACCTTCATCTATCAACAAAACCTGATTATAGTCATTTCATTACTATCGTCTGTAAACAAAACCTGATTATAGTCATCTATCAATAAAACTTGATTATAGTCATTCTGTAACCTTCATCTATCAACAATACCTAATTATAGTCATTCTGTCGCCTTCATCTGTAAACAAAACCTGATTATAGTCATTCTGTTACCTTCATCTGTAAACAAAACCTGATTATAGTCATTCTGTTACCGTCATCTGTAAACAAACCCTGATTATAGTCATTCTGTTACCTTCATCTGTAAACAACACTTGATTATAGTCATTCTGTTACTGTCATCTGTAAACAAAACCTGATTATAGTCATTCTGTAACATTCATCTGTAAACAAAACCTGATTATAGTCATTCTGTAACCTTCATACATGAACACAACCTGATTATAGTCATTCTGTAACCTTCATCTGTAAATAAAACCTGATTATAGTCATTCTGTAACCTTCATCTGTAAAAAAAAACCTAATTATAGTCATTCTGTAACGTTCATCTGTAAACAAAATTTGATTATAGTCATTCTGTAACCTTCATCTGTAAACAATACCTGATTGTAGTAATTCTGTCACCTTCATCTATCAACAAAACCTGATTATAGTCATTCTGTCACCTTCATCTGTAAACAAAACCTGATTTATAGTCATTCTGTAACCTTCATCTGTAAACAAAACCTGATTATAGTCATTCTGTTACCGTCATCTGTAAACAAAACCTGATTATAGTCATTCTGTAACCTTCATCTGTAAACAAAACCTGATTATAGTAATTCTGTCACCTTCATCAACAAAACCTGATTATAGTCATTCTGTAACTTTCATACATGAACACAACCTGATTATAGTCATTCTGTTACCTTCATCTGTAAACACTTGATTATAGTCATTCTGTAACCTTCATCTGTAAACAATACCTGATTATAGTAATTCTGTCACCTTCATCTATCAACAAAACCTGATTATAGTCATTCTGTAACTTTCATACATGAACACAACCTGATTATAGTCATTCTGTTACCGTCATCTTTAAACAAAACCTGATTATAGTCATTCTGTAACCTCATACAAAAACAAAACCCTGATGATAGATAAACTTGCATTTAAGTTACATTGTTATATTGTTACAATTAAAGTTAACATTACATCAGTACTAGGTGAAACACTATATGGACAAAAGTATTGGGACGCCTACACATCACACCTACAGGAGCTTTTATGAATCCCATTCTAAACCCATAGGCATTAATATGGGGTTGGTTACCCTTTGCAGCTCTAACAGCTTCCACTCTTCTGGGAAGCTTCTACAAGATGTTGGAGAGTCTGTGGGAATTTGTGTCCATTCATCCAGGAGAGCATTTGTGAGGTCAGACACTGATGTTGGACGAGAGGGTCTGACTCACAATCTCCGTTCTAGTTCATCCCAATGGTGTTGATGGGGTTGAGGTCAGGGCTCTGTGAGGGCCAGTCAAGTTCTTCCACACCAAACTCACCCAGTCAGGCCTTTATGGAGCTGCTTTGTGCACTGGGGCTCAGTCATGCTGGAACAGGAAAGGTTCTTCCCCAAACTGTTCCCACAAAGTTGGAAGTGTACAATTGTCGGCACAGTGCAGTCAGGCAGGTAATGTTCTCCTGGCATTCACCAAGCCCAGCACTCGTCCATCATACTGACAGATAGAGAAGTGTGATTGGTCACTCCACAGAACACGTTTTCACTGCTCCAGAGTCCAGTGGCAGCGCTTTACTCCACTCCAGCCGACACTTGGCATTGTGCGTTTTCGTCTTAGGCTTGTGTGCAGCTGCTCCGCCACCCGTTCTGTGAAGCTCCTAACGTGCAGATCTTTTAGCAGGACAGAAATTTCACAAACTAACTTGTGTCAGAGGCGTCATCTTATGACAGAGCCATGTTTAAAGTCCTGAGCTCATCAGTACGACCCTCTACTGTTTGTCTATGGAGACTGCAGGGCTATGTGCTTGATTTTATCCACCTGTTAGTAATGGGTTTGGCTGAAACCTGAACTTAATAATCAGGAGGTGCGTCCCAATACTTTTTTCCATATAGTGTATATTGTCTATATCGTATAGACGATAGGAGTGTAACAATACATAAAATTAAATTTAATACGATACACAATATCGTCCCAATACACTAACTTTGAACTATAATGCTGGTCGCAATATGAGATGATATATGCAGCGATACAATACAGTATGTTGAAGAGTTACAGATCTACAGTGTACATCAGTTTTAGTGGTATTCTTATATTTGATAGCTGTGATATAATTGCAGCAAAATAGCGGCAACTAGTATTTTTGCATTCTGTAATTCTGCTTTGTCGCTTTACTCGCTGTACATTCCTTTGTTGTCATTGCTTTGCGCTTGAGTAGATAAAGAGATGAAATCCCGTTTCTCCAAACCCAGACAGTGCAAAACAGATAAGAAATACAGATAAGAACTACAGACAGTGAAGACTGCATGGTGCGGCGTTGCCATGGCAATTGCAAGGAATGCATTTATAAATACAGGCTTAAATGTTTGAGAATAAATATTGTGGTATTGAATTTTAGCATTATTTCAGCACTGATCCAAAGTCCAACCATTGCAGTCAGGCCTTTGAAATGAATCAGGCTTGACGTAGGGCTGGGCGATATGACAGTAAATATCGCTATCGTGATAAATTATGTCACGAACCAATATAATATCGCTGCAAAACAAAACGTTGTGTCTGAAAAAGGTAACTTTACAGGACAAGGAAAAACGGTCTTAAACTCTCATTAGAAGAAAATGAAATTTTTTTTTTTTCTAAGTCATTTTGGACTGTTTCTGTTGGTCTTTACATGAAATTTTGACACAACATAAAGGGCAACTGCCTCTTTCAAATTCTGTCAAAAAATGAAATACAAGGTTTCACCTGAGACTAACGATGCTTTTCTGAACCTGTCGTGGATATCATCAGTACTGTTAACTGAATTTAGTGCCAAATATTTGATTAAAATTACTGTGTTCACAGTTTTTGTTAGTGTTTTGTCAAAATGTAGATTCTAAGTTTCAACTGATCAGATGTCTGAACAAATAAATATCATGATATATCGTGTTATTAAAACTTTTTCAAGTGTGGCGATATTATGTTTTTGCCATATCGCCCACCTCTAACTTGACTATACCTCTACTAATAATGGTGATAATAATGACAAAAATGAGAAGCTGCTTTAAAAAGCTAGTAACTCTGAAATAATCTGATGACTAGGCTTTGATACTGCAGGCCGGTAGTATTATTCATGATCAGAAATGTAGATGAGGCGCGTCTGATCTGTCTGCATGGCTGAGTAGCTGCTGCGGCTGAGAGGCATGTGCTTTCTGCGAGGCAGATTAGACGAGGCATGTGATGCACGAGTGGGTAGCATAGCTCAGCCTGCCGGACTTGCGTGCTGCTGAAAGTCTGGCTGAATTACAGCAGTTTGGTAGCGTCTCGTGGTGTTGGGTCAGAGACTGTGGTGTTTAGTGGGTGGTGAGTACGTGAAACACTGTCCTGTTAAAGACAGCAGAGTTAATAGGTAGCTTACAAGTGGATCTGAATTGGGATGCACAGTAAATAGTTTTGAATTTTTTTATCATGTTTTTGGCCTTTACAATAGCCTCGAATGCAGATGAGCTTTCTAACCAATCACAATGCTTTTTACTGTGTGTTGTGAGCAACCTCAGCTTCTGTGGAATGTGGATATTCACCTGCATTTAAACATATTCTCTAATTTTCTTGCATTTATTTTATTTCTTGAATAATATTTATGTAATATTATGTGCAAAAAAACGTGTATTATGTGTTTATCCCTTCAGATTAAACAGGCTGTTGTTGTTACTATTTCTTTAAAGGGGAATTCCACCAAATTGTTCCAAAAATCCCTGAGTGTGTGAGATGTAATCAGAGAGCTTCAGAGTGGTTTGGTGTGAAATGGTTCAGATGTCTTTACAGTGGTGGTGATAGGAACCAGGGGTCGCCATGACTACAACACAAATATAGACATTTTATTTACTATCCAGAACCACCAGTGAACCTACACGAGTCTTCTGAGTTTATATGGAATGTTGATGATGGAAAATAGTGGAAGATCTGAAATAATCAGTTTTCTTTGGGGACTATTTTGCCTCACAGCGCCCTGCATGTATCCCTCCACCATGAATGGAGTTTAAGTTCTCTAAACTATCATTAAACAGTGTCTCAGTCATCAGGCAGTGAATTCATAACCATTTACTGTAGGAACTTTCTGTGAGGGAGCTTTTAGAGGTGGACGTCACAGTGAATTCAAAACAAGGAAGTTTCCATATTCGGGCTGGAGAGGGAACGGATGTGCGCCTATGACTCATATATAACTCTGTTATTTAAAAAAACCACAGAAGTGTGTTTGTTTATGTGATGTGGGCCCTTTAAGTAGTGCTGGAATAATTGTTTTGCTGTTGTTTCTCCGCTGTAGCCTCCAGACATCGGCGTAAGACTACAGTGTTGAAGATGGACGAGGCGGCCCTGTACGTGATAAGTGAGGTCGAGAGTGAGATGCTACTGTCCGTCATATCTAACCACTGCTTTCAGGTGAGAACCTGCTGCATACTGGACACAATGAGGACATATGAGAGTTACAATTAGAGGTGGGCAATATGACGATATTTAATCGTTATCGTGATATTGTCACAGTACGCTTTTCTGAGTGTGTTCTGGATATTGTCAGGACTAAAAGAGCACTGACTACATGTTCGATTACAAAGTGAGCATAATTAATTTAGTAGAGTTTGTAAACATTAAATATTATTTATTATGGCTTTATTAGTAGTAATTTTATTATTATTTATTATCTTTGTTATAATATAGTATTTAAGCAACAGAACATGAGAGGGAGTGTGTTATCGTGAAATAACATCATGTTATTGGCGATAACACACTCCTCGAGTGTTCTATTGCTTTTATACAACAGTTAAATAAATACAGTAATAAATTAATAAACTGGGCCGTGAACGCGGCGTTTAATATGTTTTAATGTTCGCAGTTCCTTCACCAAATTATAGTTCCTTAACGAGCAGCTTGTTGATAGGTCAGAGTAACAAGCTCCGCCCACTCGCTGCACGGCCGGCAGTTCGTTCTCCAGCTCCTTACACTAAATTCCCAAACTGTCATCACCACTGAGCAGCTTTTCAGTCGGCAGCTTTGACAGAAGAACAGCTAAACAACCTGGAATCAGCCAGAAATGAACCCAATACCATTCGCCAAAGGTGTAGTCTGATCTTCAGAGTCTGACCAAATCAGACTGAGCCATAAAACTGCCACAATATCAAGTTCAGCTCAGTTTTGTCAATTTTTGCCAGATCAGTATTAATGTTGTTTTGTTCCAGCCAGTCTGTAAAGCATCTTACAGCCCATTTAGTTTGGCGAATGGTGTTGGGTTCATTTCTGGCTGATTCCAGGTTGTTCAGCTGTTCTTCTGTCACAGCTGCCGACTGAAAAGCTGCTCAGTGGTGATGACAGTTTGGGAGTTTAGTGTCGTCTCATCTTCAGAGTCTGACCAAATTGGCTGTCGGTCAAATGTGATCTTAAAAGTGTCCATTTTCTGTTAGTGGCAAAGTAAGAAGTAAAAACGTTCAAATGGCGTTGCTTAGTAACGGCGTCTCAGCGGAGTGATACAGTGTTTGTGAAAAAAAACGTGATGTTATGGTGAAATAACAGCACAGTTAGAACGCTTCTCAACCAATCAGCTTGCGTGGCCGGAACTGACTGTTGCATAATTTTGTATATAGCACTACAGATTATATTCTGTCTGTTCCAGTGTTAAAGGAAATATGGTGGTGCATATCATGAATCATGTCATGAAAGTGTATTGAAGTATTCTGATATTTTTCCCGTATCGCCCACTTCTAATTACAGTTATTCTTCAAACGTCAGTATTTATTGATCTACACTTTACGTCTTGTATCAGAATATGTTGCTTCATATTGAGCTGAAAAATCCCCTCTTGACATGTTTAGTGACGAGGCTAATGTAGCTAACAAGTAATGTAAACTAATATCCCACCAATCATCATTTTGCGAATTCCATGTCCAAAATTGGACAAGGGTTAAGAACAGATCCAGACTTCAGGGTGGGCAGTGTGCCTGTTTTTAGCTATGCTGATGTACTTTAGTGCATGTTTATAGATAACAGTGTATTATACAGTGTCAGAAAATACACTTAATTAGACCCAGAGTCTCTAATATGAGTGTGACACCGACTCCAGAGCTCTGTTACACATGGTACTTAGTCGGTTGGTCTAATAAGAGCTGTTTCCTTTCAGTGTTTGCCACAGCCTGTGGGCCAGGTACCGCCCAGGCCTAGGCCGGGTGTGCCCACCAAGGTGGGCTTCACTGTGAGCACCCAGCATGCACTTATACTGCAACTCAACAGCACTGCAGTTAACATGGAACTGTGCAGGTGAGCATTCAGCTCTGTAATATGTTTTTCAAAATTCTATAACTTCCTATAATTCCTATAACTCAGTGTGTGAGGGTGTAAACAGAGAGATTCAGAGTGGTTTGGTGTGAAATGGTCCAGATGTCTTTACAGTGGTGGTGATAGGAACCAGGGGTCGCCATGACTACAACACAAATATAGACATTTTATTTACTATCCAGAACCACCAGTGAACCTACACGAGTCTTCTGAGCTTATATGGAATGTTGATCATGGAAAATAGTGGAAAATCTGAAATAATAAGTTTTCTTTGGGGACTGTTTTGCCTCACAGCGCCCTGCATGTATCCCTCCACCATGAATGGAGTTTAAGTTCTCTAAACTATCATAAAACAGTGTCTCAGTCATCAGGCAGTGAATTCATAACCATTTCATGTAGTAACTTTCTGTGAGGGAGCTTTTAGAGGTGGACGTCTGGTTCCTATCACCACCACTGTGAACAGTTCTGATTCTAGAACAGAGCGTTTCACACCAAACTGCTCTGAACTTTGTGTCCATCTTGACAGTTTAATTATGCAGAATTCTGACCATAATTTCACCAAAATAACTTTGAGATACAACAGCGAATGTATGTTTGAATGGCTTGATGTTCTTCTGCTGGTTCTCCTGGCCTGAAACCCCTGTGAGGCACAGTGTCAGCTGTGGAAATGGATTTAAACCATCATCTCACGTTCTTCATCGCGTTTCCTCTGCTCTCCACTTTCTGTCAGGATGCATTTCCATTTTGGAGAGCATGGGAACTACTCTCTGTGGGTGAAGAACCTGAATGATCTCTCCCAGGTCAACTGCACCATGGTCACTGACTCCGAGCCAATCAACAGCTACCTGCGTAGGTATCTGCATTGGTACTCAGGGCACACAAATTAATGCAGTATTTATTTTTTTATTAAAGGCTATATAAGCCATATAAAGAATAGTCCTGCAAATCAACTCACTATACGTTGTATAAATATGTCTTTATGTAGCATTTTAATAATCCAGAGAAACTTACATTGGTAAAAATATTAACATACAGCTACATTAGGAATAATAAATAATACAAAAAAGGTATATATGATTTTCACTGATGTAGTACAAGATAGTATTATAACTATGAGATATATAAAATTAAACTCTTTTAGAGGAAAGAAAACTCTCTTATTGGTTGCTTGTGCATGTGTAATATATCTGAGACTGATTTTACTAATACGAGCCACCTTGTTTGTTTGTTTCTGTTCAGCCATCTTGCTTGCCTTCCTCGTGTTTGCCAGTTTATATGTGTTGGCTGCCATCTGGAACTCAGTCAAGGGGTAAGACTCTGCACGTTTTAAATCCCATCCGATTACTATAATCCACTTAAATATTTTGCAGTGACTTCTGAAAAAGCCAAAAGTTAGCTTTTGAAACTGAATAGATTTCTTAGCCGATTGTGTCGGGAGTTGGTCAATGCGTAGAGCAGGTGAAAAGACTGAGTGAGTTGCTGAGCTGTTAAATCCCGGCACCCAGGACTGTGAAATACGCTGCTTTTAGAGTTTATGCTCCACAATTTTGGAACTGGTTTTGCTTTTCTCAAAATGTATATTTTTATTTTATTATTTATTCTCTCAAGCAACTTTCATTATCATTTGACAGTGTTTCATTTGTATTTCACTTTGTTTTGTTTTAATTTGTTGCTGTTTTTTTAAGTGTGCACATACTTCAAGTTTGCTGCTTTTCTTTTTGCTAAATGTTGATGTCCTTTTTTCAGTGTTGTTACCTGTTTTATTGCTTTCTGACCTTCTTTTAATTAATTAGTTTTTATTTGCTGTTTTTCGATGCTGGTTGTCGACTGAATTTTTCAGGACTGGCAGTTGAGGCTGATGGTTTCGGGACTGAGAGTTGACTGAAGATGTCGGGAGTGCCGAATGACTGATGGCGTCAGGAATGTTGGTTGACTGATGGTGTGAGGACTGATTCTTGACTCTGATGGTGTCTGTACTACTGGTTGACTGATAAGGCCATGACTGCTGGTTGACTGATGGTGTCGGGACTGCTGGTTGATTGACAACGTCAGGATTGAAGGTTGACTGACTGCGTTGGGACTGCTGGTTGATTGAAGACGTCGGGACTCCAGCTTGACTAACGGTGTAGGGACTGCAGGTTGACTGACGGTGTAGGGACTGCAGATTGACTGAAGGAGTCGAGTTTGCCGGTTGACTGACTGTGTAGAGCTGCAGGCTGACTGACTGCCTCGGGAATGCCAGTTGACTGATGCCGTTGGGACTGGTGGTTGAGGCTGATAATTTCGGCATTGGTAGTTGACTGATAATCTATGCCCCATGTTGAACCACGTTTCCTGATCAGGTGGCTAATTAAACAGGCTCTTACAGTGTGCATTGTGCAGAGTAGTACAAAATCAAACACATTTGCTTTTCACTACTCCATGTAACACCACGAAAAGTCGTCAAGCAGTTCCCGAAGTTCAGTCGGCTTTCTCCTGATCTGGGAGAAAAGTGCCTGTATGTGTTTATTTATTTGTTATTTGTTGTTCCTTTTCTCTCTCATCAGGCTGGACGCCGTGAGGAATCTTCTCCTTCGTTTGGGGAAGCACCATTGAGGCTGAAAGACTCATCAACTCAGTGAGAACCTTTCAGTATTCAACCCTTTACATACACTTGCTCACAACGTCCTGTCACATTCTCATGTTATTCTTCCTCATACTTGCAGTCACCCTTTCATGTCTCTGCATATTCCCACATTTACCTCTTCATATTTCTGCCTTCGCTCTTTTGCATTTTTGATTGGTTCCACACTTGTCCGATAATCCTTTGTTACAGACGTATTGGTTTAACTGTTCCTGTCTTTGTGTTTGTTTGTTAGGAGCTGGGCTCTCCCAGCCGGGTGGTGGAGTCCTCAGCTGAGTCGATTATTCCCGCCACCGCTGGACGGAGGCTGCGTTCTCTCGACACATTCAGAGGGTACGTGGGTTTATGTCTCTGGTGGTCCGTAAGGAAAATTTCCTCATGATCTACACTGCTTAAGCGTAGAGACATAATGAACTCATTTATGTAGCGAGTTAAACACCATTGCCAGTGGTCCACTATCCTCTTGCTATCAGGGCAGCATTAATATACATCTGTACAAAGACACCAGAACACAAGGCTGTTAGAAGACTAACTAGCGCCTTTATTTCAGTGCGGTTTCTCACATTGAGGAGTTCAGTGAATTTCACAAGAAGTAGATTTTTATGTGCTGAAGTTCTTGCCCAGCTTTGTAACTCCTGGTTTGTAATGTTCTGGTTCTGCTCTTCCAGCTTTGCTCTGGTGGTGATGGTGTTTGTGAATTATGGAGGAGGACGCTATTGGTTCTTCAGACATGAGAGCTGGAACGGTGAGCTTCTCTCAGTAAAGACATCAGTCTTGCTTACCAGATCTCTCCATAGGAGTGTTGCTGTAGTACAAGAGGTGTTTGGTGTCTAAAGCTTGTTTTTAGTTGTTGTTTTTTAGTTATAACACTGAAGCTAAGAAGCTAATGTAGCTAACACGTAATAAAAGTTAATGAACTACAATTAGCATGGTGCTAACTACATGGCTGTAACCATGTGGACTTATGTGGTTTCTGACACTGTATGACTCTGTTATCTATAAACATGGACTAAAGTACGTTAGCGTAGCTAAACACAGTAGCAGTTTGTACTTTAGTCCATGTTTATAGATAACAGTGAGTCATTCAGTGTCAGAAACCACATGATCAAGACTATTAGAGACACTGGACAGCTCAACATGGCCTGAAGCAAATGTGATGATTTAGGTCTCCATGCTAATCACTTTGAATGCTTGTTAGCCACATTAGCCTCATGGCTCCAGCGCTAAAACTGAAGAAGCAAGCAAAAAAGACACCAAACATGACTAGTGAAATGTTTAATGTAGATAATAATGCAGACAGAAAGTAGGTAATCCTGAAGCAGCAGTTTTTAGTAGGTATAAACTCTGCTTCTCTTTCGTTTCTCCTACAGGACTCACTGTAGCTGACCTGGTCTTTCCCTGGTAAGCATAAACTCGTGCATGGAGGAAGTTCACGTTCTGTTTTTTAATCCACACACATTAATGTTTGTTGCTGTTTGTTTGGCACTGTAATAAAACTGCAGTCAGGTCAGCAGTTCAAACATCACGTGTTCTTTCAGGACATTGTTCTGCTTTCCCTGCCAAATAAATAAGCACAGACCAACATGCATTACATGTTGGTTTATGCTAGTTCATGCTAGTCTAGTGCTGGTCTGATGCTGGTTTAGCTGGTCACCCAGCATGGTCATGCTGGTTGACCAGCATACCAGCGTCCAAAAACACAACATATGCTGGTTTTGGTTGTGATCGTCATATCAGCTTGCATTGCTGCCGACCAGCATACCAGCAATCAAAACGCAACATAGCCTGATTTTGCTGGCGACCAATCGTGCTGGTTTTTCTAGCGGGGTTGTCATAAAGTAGCAAACACTTGGTGGTAAAACAGTACCTGACCTCATTTTCACTAAGCAGTTTAGTGGCCACCTTTTACACAGTGCTTCATTGCACTTTGTCCCAACTCTGTTCCAACAGGCTTCGTGAACATGACCATATAAATACGCTGTTGCCAAAGCGTTTTCAGTACTGTGTAAAAGTCAGAGACCACCCTTAATTTATTTGATATTCAGTCAAAACAGCCATTAAATGCAAGTTGTCCTCTTGTGTATGTGTAAGTGGGGGGAAAATCTGGAGTTTCCAAAACTGATTAAAAGCTGCAGAGAAAATGTGTCTCCTAACAACCACCTGGAAGAGCTGGTAGAGACCAAAACTGCCCCCATCAGATAAACAGCACTTAAAGCTTTCATCTCTGAGAGAGAGGAGAAAATCAAGCTGCTTCAGATCTGAAAACATCCACAGGTGTTTCTGTCCATCCTTCCACTGTGAGAAGACAACTCAGCGCTATGGGTCTGAAAGGATGTGTAGCTGTCCAGGAGAACCTCACTGAGAAAAGGAGACCAGAACATCTGCAGTAGAGCACCAGACTGACTATCTGAGAAGTCAAGCATCAGAACAGGTTTGGGACGAAGAACAACATCTGGAGTTGGTGATTCATTTGTGGTTGAAGTATAAACAAATTGAAATCCATTCTGCTGCATTCTCAGGAAAATATTTGATTGGGGGGAAAAACTAATTTCTAGATAATGAAGATAACGATACCAAGCACACTGCTGAGAAGATCAGGACCGATCAAACAAAGAAGCTAAACCATGGACTGACCACCCCAGAGTCCAGACCTCAGCACCACTGAATGTGTTTGATTACTTCAGAAGATGATCAACCAGCTTCTAAGACTGAACTTTGGAGGTGTGTCTGCAGATTCTTTGAGGAACTGAAAGTGAGTCTCCTGAAAAGAATGGAAGCTGGAATAAAGGTGAAGAGTGACACACTGAACACACGAGTCCTACTGGTAATTTCCTGGATATGGTCAGAATTTTAACCCTGGCTTGCGTTCACACCGAACTCACACCTTCCTGTTTAACTACCGTTTCATCACAGTTCCGGAGTGAAAGTCCATGTGTGAGTGGATCTGAAGTGTTTATCTCAGATATGTTTGTATTTGTGATAAATGAAAAGTAAATAGTTCTTTCTCTTTGTCTTTTTCTCCTCCTCCTCTCCCAGGTTTGTGTTCATCATGGGTACGTCCATATCTCTCTCTGTAAACGGTGCTCTGTGTCGGGGAGCCATGCGTTCTCATCTGCTGAGGAAGGTCTGCTGGAGGAGCGTTCAGCTCTTCCTCATCGGAGTCATCATCATCAACCCCAACTACTGCCTCGGGCCGCGTGAGTTCCTCAGTGAAACGGCTGCTCTGTTTACCTTACCTAAAACTACTTTGGCTTCTATTAGTTGTTCAGCATTTTCTAAAAATTATGTGTTAACTTTCAGAATTATTTATTAGCTACTATGAATTATTTGTCATTACCATAAATTATTTGGCAACTACTATGGATACTATGAAGTTTCAATAAAGTATCAGGTATTTACTAGTAATTATTCGGTAATTACTAGGAATTATTTGGTATCTACTATGAATTATTTGGATATTACTAGGAATTATTAATTCACTACTAGGAATTATTCAGTATCTACTATTAATGATTTGGTAATTTATTCATTTACTACTATGAATTATTGGTATTTATGCTTAATTATTCAGTATTTACTAGGAATTATTAATTGACTACTACAAAGTATTCAGTACTATTATTAATTATTTGGTAAATACTAGGAATTATTAATTTACTACTTTGAATTATTCATTATCTACCATTGATTATTTGGTAATTACTAGGAATTAATTATTAACTACTATGAATGATTTAGGATCTCCTATTAATTATTTGGTAATTACCACAAATGATTAACTGCTTTGTATTGTTCTGTATCTTCTATTAATGTAGTCATTACAAATTTTTCATTAACTACTATTTTTGTCTACTATTAATTATTTGGTTACTTCTATTAATTAGTTATTAAGTATAATAAGTCCTTCTGAAATTGCCACATATTATACAGTAACTACTGTGGATATTTGGTAACCATTAAGAATTATTTAATGACTATGAAACGTATGTGTACGTTCTGTAGTTATGAGAGTGATAAACTGTAGAATGACTGTGGATCATATGAACATTATAGAGGCTTTTTAAATGAAACAGTAGAAGCCATATCGCCCCCTACACTTCCTGTAGTGTATTACTGCTTGTTTATTTGAGTTAGAATTTCATTTATTGTCTTTTTATGCCTGATGTGGAGAACAGACCTTGTGGAAATCAGCTAAATGCTGAAATGTGTGTGTTTGTGTGCAGTATCCTGGGACTCGCTCCGTATTCCTGGTGTACTGCAACGTTTAGCCTTTACCTACCTGGTTGTGGCGGTGTTGGAGGTGTTGGTGGCCCGAGTTCATCAGGACAGCTCACTGACTGTGAGTAACAACTGCTTTTTCTGAAAATAAGCACATAGAATCCACATCGGACTAGTGTGAGTGAATTAAACTGCTGTAAATTTGAGCTTTAGCTTCCAAACTGACTGTGTCCTTTAGGGACTGTATCGTTTAATCATGGCCAGTGTGTTAGCTTGTGGCTAGCGTGTTAGCTTTGGCCATGCGTGTTTGTAATTTTTGTTTGTTTATTTTGATCTAAAACCTGACGTCATATGTTTGTGCTCTCAGGATGTGTGGTGGTACCCTGTCCATGATGTCTTCCTCAACTGGCCTGCATGGGTATGTGTGATCGCCATGGAAACACTGTGGCTGTGCTTGACCTTCTTGCTGCCCTGTCCCAGGCTGTCCGACGTAAGTGATAAAAATAAATACATAAATAAACTTTTTTTTCTTTCACTTTTACTCACACAGTCTTTACAGCTTTTTGTTTTGACCAGTCGAGACCGTGCTTCCAGTCCACTTCCGACCAGTCGAGACCGTGCTTCCTATCCGCTTCCGACCAGTCGGGGCCATGCTTCCTGTCCACTTCCGACCAGTCGGGGCCACGCTTCCTGTCCACTTCCGACCAGTCGGGGCCGTGCTTCCTGTCCACTTCCGACCAGTCGGAGCCGTGCTTCCTTTCCTCTTCCGACCAGTCGAGGCCGTGCTTCCTATCCGCTTCCGACCAGTCGAGGCCGTGCTTCATATCCGCTTCCGTCCAGTCAGGGCCGCGCTTATTGTCCACTTCCGACCAGTCGAGGCCGCACGTCCTTGCCATGATGTAAAGTTAACCATGTTGCATTTGTCAGTTTTTATGAAGCTGAAAACTTAGTCAGGAACCCTCATTTGGTTGAACGTGCTTTATGGAACAAGGCCCTCAACTAACCAGAACCAGTGATCCATCCAGGTTGGGTCAGTGGAGTGAAACAAAGTGAAAGTTTTTTTTTTTTTTTTTTTCATGCTAACCATCTCTAGACGTCTTTGAAGACCAGACTCTGAACTGATGACCTCCATTTCCAGCTCAATAAACTGAGAAGAGACAGAAGGCAGAGAAAGAACTGAAGAGTCTCTAATTAAAGCGCCCTCAGTTTTACAGGAACGACACCTTGTTCTCTCCGAATTTGCATGAACATGAATTTTCCATCAAGCTTCCCGTCCACAAGATGAATAAAACATGCTGCTCGTTAGCCATGCAAATTAGACGGCACGAATTCTGTTCTTCCAGTTCAAACAGCATTCTTAAACTCTGACGTTTCTGTTTCTCCTCCTTTGCATAATTTAGAAGGTCGTTATATTAGTCTGTCTTCAATAATGCCATGGGACGGGATTGTATCTGAGATTCATAATGATTTTCGACAAGGATTAAAAACTGTTGTACAGTAAAAGTAAACTTAGACAATCAGGTCAGTACAAATACAGTACAGTGCAGAAACTTTCTGAACTGCAGAGGTTTTTGTGCCGTTTCCTAGTCGGGAGTTGTTGTCTTGCCCCACATTTGCATTATGTAATTATTCAAATGTAATCACAACAGGTTTGAGTCTCTCTGATTTTGTTCTGTTCGTTTTAATGTTAAACTTTCAAACCAAACAATCTATGTGTGGAAATTAAAGTGCTGTTTTTATGATGTCACAAAAACCAACTATTTACATATACCCGCTCCTTCAGCCTACAGCAGTTTAGCCCAGCCTTTTAGCCTACAGCAGTTTAGCCCCGCCCATTCAACCACCACAGTTTAGCCCCGCCTTTTAGCCTACCGGAGTTTAGCACCACCCATTCAACCACCACAGTTTAGCCACGCCCATTCAGCCTACAGCAGCTTGGCCCCACCCATTTAGGCTGAAGATATAAGGAGTGTTTCAGCTCGGACTGCTTTTTTATGAATGAGGCAGAGCCAATCAGAACAAAGCTAATTTAATGGCATAGTAACAAAAACAGCTTGTTTAAATCTAAGAGATAAAGAGAGATTGGAAAATGGTCCTTGATTATCATAAGTGGAAATAAAACATAAGAAATATGTAGGACGTGGGCTGTTTAATATAAAATTCTCGTTTGTTTTTGTTTTCCACTGGAAATAATTGTAATGAACTGTGTTGTTGCTGTATGTGTTCCTGTTTGTGCTGCAGTGGGTATTTGGGTCCGGGGGGAATCGGGGATTTTGGTCAGTATCCAAACTGCACAGGAGGAGCTGCAGGTTACATCGACCGCTGGCTGCTGGGAGAAAACCACATTTACCAAACACCGTCGTCACGGGTAAGATGGGTTCACACTCACAGTGGTGTTTCAGTGTTTAATTAATTAGCATTAATGAAATGCTGTGTTGAGTCGCCTAATCTGAGAAATGTTTGCTGAGAGGCTGAAAGGCAAGAAAAACTACAGTTTCTCATCACTGTGTTATTGATTTTGTTTCTCTCCCTATCTCTCTCCTCTCCCTCTCTCAGGTCGTCTATCAGACCACAGTGCCCTTTGACCCTGAGGGAGTTCTGGGCAGTATTAACTCTGTATTGATGGCCTTCCTCGGCCTTCAGGTCAGACCACACCAGATCACTCATTTAACAGCACCAGATTTTTGTGATTTTTGGAATTTGTATTACAGAAGCAAATCTTATCTTAATTTTTAGGAATCTTACAGTGTCTCATCTCAGGTTAACCTACTTGATCAAAGTCAAGTGCTTTCTTATTTGGAGTTAAGATATAGATTATATAAAGATTAAGATTATGAAGTTAGGAACTGTTATTCTGTAATAGCTACTGTCCTAAGTTCAGTCCGTACTGAAGACTGAACAGATCAGATTTCAGAGTTAAGGCGGTTCTGTAATATGGCCCCGGATCACTAATCTAAACACACCAGTAGATCACTGATTACATCACTCTCGTAGATCACTGAGTTTAACGCACCAGTAGATCACAAACTTAAACATGCTAGAAGATAACGAGATCGTTAATTGAACTGTGCTGGTAGATCACTAATTGAACTACGATGGTAGATCACTAATTTAAACATGCTGGTAGATCACGTATTGAACCACACCATGAAAGATCACTAATTTAAACATACTGGTAGATCACGTATTGAACCAGCCCCAGGAAGATCACTAATTTAAACATACTAGTAGATATTTTATTGAGCCTCGCTGGTAGATCACTAAATCAAACATCTTAGTACATCACTAATTGATACACACCGGTAGATCACTAATTTAAACATACTGGTAGATCACTAATTGACCCAGACGGGTATATCACAAATTGAACCACACAGAGAAGATCACTAATTTAAACATACCAGTAGATCTTTTATTGAGCCACACTGGTAGATTGCTAATTTAAACATACTGGTAGATCACTAATTGAACCACACTGGTAGATTACTAATTTAAACATACTGGTAGATCACTAATTGAGCCACACCGGTAGATCACTAATTCAAACATACTGGTAGATCACTAACTGAACCACACTGGTAGATCACTCATGTAAACATACTGGTAGATCACTAATTGAGTCACACCGGTAGATCACTAATTTAAACATACTGGTAGATCACTAATTGAGCCACACCGGTAGTGGTCAGTTTGAGGTTTATATTAGTTTACCCATGGCCAGTCTGGAGTGGTCAGTTTGAGTATCCGTGTGTGTTTCAGGCAGGGAAGGTTCTCCTGCACTACAGAGAGCAGCACAGGGAGATCATCACCCGTTTCCTGGTGTGGAGCTTCCTGCTGGTACGGTCTCGCTCCTCTCTCACTGTTCTAGATCACAGTCTAGATTAGAGGGGTTGGTTATTACAGTGTAGCCCTGGTTGGGTTTATATATCTCTATATGTACTGTTTACGTGTTTATGTCTGTTCTTTGATGTCCGTTTTGTAGGGAATCATCTCCGCTGTTCTGACAAAATGCTCCAGAAATCAGGGCTTCATCCCCGTCAACAAGAACCTGTGGTACAGTAACAATCACCCTCTCTGTGTTTGTACAATCATAATGAGGAAGATAGCTGTCATTATCATTATAGCAATATTATCATAATAACCTGTGTAATTAAAGTAATTATACTGTAGTATATAACTTTGACATTTCTGTTATTACATTATTATTTAATTAGTTATCCAGCTGTTATAGCTATAGAATGTAACGGTATTATTATAACTTTAACAATAAGTTGCAATGGTAATAATAATAATAATAATAATAATAATAAAAATAATAATTTCCTTAGGAAAACATAGTATTGGCAGAGAATTGCTGAAAGATGGTGATGATTACAGTAAAGTAATAATAATAGGAGTTGCTGTAATTGTCATACATTATATGATCAATTTTATTATTATTATTATTTTTTTATGTGTCGTGTTCCTGCAGGTCCCTGTCGTATGTGACGACTCTCAGCTGCTTTGCCTTTGTGGTCCTTCTGGTGGTCTACTATACAGTGGATGTGAAGAGGTGGTGGTCCGGAGCTCCGTTCTTCTACCCAGGTGAGCTCACAATTGTACAACCTTCTAGCAGTGCCCTAGCAACCACCTGGGAACACCCTAGCAGCCACCAGAGATACCATAGCAACCACCTAGCAGCATCGTAGCAACCACTGGGGAAACCCTAGCAACCACCAGAGAAACCATAGCAACCACTGGCAAACACCAGAGAAACTGTAGCAACCGTCTGGTACCATCCTAGCAACCACCAGGGAAACCCTGCAAACCATTTGCGATACCCTAGCAACCACCAGAGAAAGTGTAACAACCACCTAGCAACAGCCTAGCAACCCCCAGGGATACCATAGCAACCACCTTGCAACATCCTAGCAAAAACCAGGGAAACGCGAGCAACAACCTTAGATACCCTAGCAACCACCAGAGAAACCATAGCAACCACCTGGGATACCACAGCATCCACCTAGTGACACCCTAGCAACCACAAGAGAAACCGTAATAACCACCTAGCAACATCCTAGCAACTCCCAGAGTAACCATAGCTACCACCTAGCAACACCCCAGCAACTCCCAGAGTAGCCATAGCAACCTCCTAATAACAATGTAACAACCAACTTGAGCACCATTGCAACCACCTAGCAACACTCTGGCAACCATCTAGCAACATCTCGGAACTACTTGGGATATGATAGCAACCACCTAAAATACCAAAATAACCATCTGGCTTCACTGTAGCAACAATCCGGGAGTTGTTTTAGCTGCGCAATGACTGCATTTTCTACAGAAAATCCACTTTTCTATTTTTTATGTTTTTTACTCAGTAATTTTGGTGACTTTATATTGATTTTGTTTCTTTTACTTATATATTTTTAAAAAGTTCTTCAACTCCTTTCTGCCAGTTTAATGATTACCTGAACTTCTCGTCTATGTAAAACACTGTGGTTCTCTATGAAATGTGCTTTATAAATAAACCTGCCTTGCCCTGAGACCACAGTGATCAGTGATCTTACTGCTTGTGTCCGACATCCACTGACATCATTCCTTTAAAACGACTAAGCCAGCCTGGCTAATAGCTAAGCTAAACCCAGTGACCTACAAATGATGCAGTCATCCAGGCTCCGTCCACTAATGTGCCTTTCTTAGCTACCATTGTGAGGTTAGACATGTTCGTGGGGGCGGAGCCTGAATCCGTGAATTGACCCGTCACCTGTTTTTCAGGTATGAACTCCATTCTGGTGTACGTGGGTCACGAGGTGTTTGAGGACTACTTCCCGTTCCGCTGGAGAATGGCCAACAGCCAATCACATTCCGAGCACCTGGCCCAGAACCTGCTGGCCACGTCCATATGGGTCCTCATCTCCTGCATCCTCTACAGGAAGAAGATCTTCTGGAAGATTTAATGACTGCTCCTTCTGGTGTGGGTTCAGACCAACCGAAGACCCGACTATCTGAAGAAACAGGCTTTCTGCAGCAGGAACTTGGAAAGTGTCAGCAGAAGTTGGATTATTTGGAGATCAGACGAACTTGATGATGCTCTCAATCGTGATTTTAGCAGCAACATTGGATGGAGAAAGCATCTCAAAGAATGGTGAAAACGGATGGTCGTTAGAAGATTCCCAGTGGCTCAGAACAAGTGTTGGGTCCATAAAACATCTATGCTGTGGGAAAAATGATCTCTTGGCAAGTGTGAGCTTCTTAAATGTAGACAGTAGATATAATATTTCTCGTTATGAGGTTGTTGAGAGAACATTACAATATTGTTCCACATGTTTAAGGACCTTTATACTGACACAAAATAATTCATCAAGGTAAAATATTTCCTTCAAGCGTTAACTTTAACACTGGATTAAATTACTCATTCTAAAAAAGTTAAGAATTTTACAGAGACCTGGATTTTCGTAGGCTCAGGCCCAGTCCCATTTCTTCTTTTTACCCCTACCCCTTGTTTTCGAGTGTTGCCCCTTGGAACTGAGTCTCAGGGTAGTGGTTAAACTCTTCCCTCTGAAATGGGACCCTCAAATAAAAAGAGCATCATTCACATTATTAACATTAACAGCTACTAGCGCTGCTCTGTAGGTGACCCTGCCAGTCTGCAGTGACAGCAGAGGAGGGTGAACTTCAGCGCCTCACTGCTGGGCTTTAGTTACATTTAGGGCTTCATATGCCTTCAAAGAGGGGGGCAATTAGTTATTATCACCCACCCCTAATTCTTCAGTGACAAATACATTCAGGCGCTCCAGGCATCAGAACTGCTGGACTATTTAAGGTGGAACGGGAAAGTTAGCTAGCTGGCTATCGAGACATTAGCATGCTATTAGCGATTTTTTTATGCTTGTTTGATGAAAACGACCATAATACACTGAAACAACATTAAACTAAGATAATACAGTGGTTATCGTAATTTTTTAATAGAGAAAATTCTCACATTTGTGGGTTTCTTTGGTCTCTTGTTCAGCCATCTTGCTGTTTTTTGTTTTTTTCTCATAACTCTCTAAAAAGCCTCCGTTTGGAGGGTCATGTAGCCCCAACACTTCACCCCACCCCTCTATCTCAACAAGAATCAGGACACCCTGCCCTAGACGAGAACACACAAAGCAGAGGGTTGGGGCTGAGTGGTAGGGGCGAGGGGTGAAATGGGACTGGGCCTTAAAGACACGTTTCACTAGACGTATGATAACCATAGACTTATCAAGGGTCCCGTAAGTGGATTTTCTAAATGTTGCTGATGATTAAAAGGTAAACAGTAAACAACTGAGATAAAATGTGGGATGCAGCTTCTCAGCCAAGCAGTTGTTTATGTTAAAAAATCTTTCAGTGCTAGATTTTTTGGAGCTTTTATTGTTGTTTGTTTTGAAAAAGAAGGAATGCTACACTGTTTTCCAGCCTCCACCTTACACATGTATCGCACAGTCAGTTTCACTGAGCTCAGAAAACTTATAATCAATAAATCAATAATCAGTGAATAAATCAATGGGCTGCTGCTCAATTTCGTCCATAAACGTTCACGCTGAACGAGTATTTCTGTAGAACACTGAGTTCTTCAGGCGAGGGTGTTTGTAAGTCACGCTGTCGGTTCTTTCAGAGAAGGGACTATTTTTCCAGAGGGAAGAATATGTGGTAATTCGTCACCTGTGCGGTGGTGAGGGCTGAGTTTTTACCACCATGGATGCCAGAAAACCCTCGCGAAAGCAAAAGTAACCGGACCTACCTTGTTTACCATTTGCTTCATTGTTGTGTTGTAAAGACAGTTTTGGTAAGAATGTTTTCTCAGCCGGTCTCATCTGAACATCTGAACGTACTGCTGGAATGGAACGGCTGGAGTTTCAGGTTCATGTTTGTTTACAGCTGCAGATTTCAAACATATTTCAAACATGCATTCACAAAATTCTGCAGCTGCCCATTGACTTCCATTAAAAGCACATTTTCAGGACAGATTTTCTATCACCAGAATAATATATTAGCATTGCTAAACACGGAATCTCAATGTTAGCCCTGCTAAACACGGAATCTCAATGTTAGCACTCCTGAACACGGAATCTCAGTGTTAGCGCTGCTAAACACGGAATCTCAGTGTTAGCGCTGCTAAACACGGAATCTCAGTGTTAGCCCTGCTAAACACGGAATCTCAATGTTAGCACTCCTGAACACGGAATCTCAGTGTTAGCGCTGCTAAACACGGAATCTCAGTGTTAGCCCTGCTAAACACGGAATCTCAATGTTAGCGCTCCTGAACACGGAATCTCAGTGTTAGCCCTGCTAAACACGGAATCTCAGTGTTAGCCCTGCTAAACTCGGAATCTCAATGTTAGCGCTCCTGAACACGGAATCTCAGTGTTGGCCCTGCTAAACACGGAATCTCAGTGTTAGCCCTGCTAAACACGGAATCTCAATGTTAGCGCTCCTGAACACGGAATCTCAGTGTTAGCCCTGCTAAACACGGAATCTCAGTGTTAGCCCTGCTAAACTCGGAATCTCAATGTTAGCGCTCCTGAACACGGAATCTCAGTGTTAGCCCTGCTAAACACGGAATCTCAGTGTTAGCCCTGCTAAACACGGAATCTCAATGTTAGCCCTGCTAAACACGGAATCTCAATGTTAGCCCTGCTAAACACGGAATCTCAATGTTAGCGCTGCTAAACACGGAATCTCAATGTTAGCCCTGCTAAACACGGAATCTCAGTGTTAGCACTCCTGAACACGGAATCTCAGTGTTAGCGCTGCTAAACACGGAATCTCAGTGTTAGCCCTGCTAAACACGGAATCTCAATGTTAGCACTCCTGAACACGGAATCTCAATGTTAGCGCTCCTGAACACGGAATCTCAGTGTTAGCCCTGCTAAACACGGAATCTCAGTGTTAGCCCTGCTAAACTCGGAATCTCAATGTTAGCGCTCCTGAACACGGAATCTCAGTGTTGGCCCTGCTAAACACGGAATCTCAGTGTTAGCCCTGCTAAACACGGAATCTCAATGTTAGCGCTCCTGAACACGGAATCTCAGTGTTAGCCCTGCTAAACACGGAATCTCAGTGTTAGCCCTGCTAAACTCGGAATCTCAATGTTAGCGCTCCTGAACACGGAATCTCAGTGTTAGCCCTGCTAAACACGGAATCTCAGTGTTAGCCCTGCTAAACACGGAATCTCAATGTTAGCCCTGCTAAACACGGAATCTCAATGTTAGCCCTGCTAAACACGGAATCTCAATGTTAGCCCTGCTAAACACGGAATCTCAATGTTAGCGCTGCTAAACACGGAATCTCAATGTTAGCCCTGCTAAACACGGAATCTCAGTGTTAGCGTGATCTCAGAGCAAACCACTGTAGTTGTAAAGTCGTGTTAAATTGTCACTTACTGGAAATATACATTAACAGAATTCGGCGTCTGCCCATTGACTTCTATTATATTTGAGTCTTCAATTCTTTGCTAAGTTGAGGGAAACTTGCTGAATTTTTTACAGACGGAGCGAATAAAGGCTGGGCTGAAAAACGGTGTGGCATTCCTTCAGCTGTTCTCGGAGGACGACAGTATTTGTGGGAATTTTTAACTTTTATTAAACGGGAACCTCTGAAAACGTCGGTTACACTTCAGGACACTAAAAGCTATGAAAACCGGAACCAGTACTTACATATGAACTCTAACCAAAAATAACAGCTGTCCTTAAAGGAACTGGGGAAAATCGTGTTGCCAAATGAAAACAAAGTCAGGTACTTGCCATATTTACACTACTTCTTACTGTGTTCTGTGTTCTTATGTGATGCATGTTTGAGTCGATGTACATTATTTAGCATTTTTAAGCTTTATACTGTTTGAGATTAGCAACTGTTACTGAATGTTTTACTCATGAAATAAACTGTGTAACCTTCTTATACATTTCGTTCAAGCAGGTTGTCTTGTTTTCACTTTTTTGTAAGAAACAATCAACAAATATGTAATTAAAATAAAGACTAAAGATGATTTAAACCCGTGTGACGTGTCCTTCACAACAGCTAATCGATGTAAAACAGCCTTAGTGCACTGTGACTAAACTTTACCTTGAAATGTCATCAAAATACCTCAAAAATCATAATATTATTGCATTATTGGGTCATTTTACAGAAACGTCCACTTTTCTGTCTCTCCATAGGAGTCACTGGTGTTACTAATCCTCATTGGTGTTACACATAATAAAGGAACACCAGAGACATTTTAATGAACAATGCATTTTAATAAATGGCTGCTACAGAGCATCAAACCACATGTGGTCAATCATGGAATATCCACTAAAATATGGAATTTAATCCATTTGTGTTCTATTTTTTCACAGTTACCTCAGAATAAAGTCGGTCACACCAGTGACTTCAGCTAAAAGCTTCATATGAAATCATGAGCTGAATGAGAAAATCTCTGATAACAGAAAGACACAGTGGACTCACCATGAGCTTTTCTTCATAGATCCTCAGAAAACAGGTAAAAGGAAGTCGAGTGATGTCATCAGTGTGACTTTTATTTCAAAATAAATTATTTTTAGCTACGCAGTAACACCAGTGACACGACTCCTGGGGACAACAACTTTAATTATATATTTTATAATATTTATTAGTTTTCTTTATGACATTTAAAGCATATATTTCATAATCATGTATAGAGTATTGTAGTTAAAATTGGAGAAAAACGTTTTTACCTCAAAATATGGCCTCAGCCTTTACACACGACTGTGAGGACGAGCTCTTCTCTGGTGTTTGGAATTCTATATGATTGATTCAAAAACCAATATTGCTAATTTGAGGCTCAAGAAGGTGTAACTGTTAAAATAACATTGTTTTATTTTATATATAAATATTAATAAATTGTAACCCAGACATTTTTCAGTGTAATATATCTGTAAACGCTAGGGACACAAAAACGGACGTGTCTGTAGAGTGACCCTGTTGTGTTATTGCATTTTTTTTAACAGGACATTTTCGGAACCATGGAATTGCCCATTTAGCTGTATTAGCTAACATTAGCTAGCATCGTCAAAAAACACCGTTTTTCACCCAAAAATCAAACATTCGGGAATGTTTCGCTCTTAAATATGAGAAGCTTTAGCTGGACTGTCTCAAAACCCCCCCTAATGATTAAACATGTGGCTGTTTGGACACATCGACTGATTTCGTGGCTACGCTAACAGTGATTAGCGGGACAGCGGTGAAGGTAGTCCTGCTAATCTCGTCTCACTCGGTTTCCTTTCCATGCTATCTTTGTTTGGGCTACACGTTAGTAGCTAATAGCTATGTGTGTCTGCTGCTAGCAGAGAAAGTGGCATCGCTAATCTCAATTAAACACTTATAAAAGATGGTTCTCCAAGGGTTCTTTGGTAAAGGCAATGTTCTATATAGTTCTATATAGAACAATTTCCATACCTAAATGTTTTATCAGATTGATGGAGAATGTGTTGTATATGGTTCTACATAGCACCAAAAAGGGTTTGGCGGTTGTTAACATGTCAAGCTTGTAGCAATAGCAGAACCCTTTTTGGTGCTATAAAGAACCATTTTCAAAAAGGTTCTACACAGAACCATATACAATACATTCTCCATCAATCTGGAGACCCTTATTACAGTTCTAAGAACAAGTTAAGCATGCAAAGTGTTCTTTGAGTGTTTGTGGTTCAACACAGAACCATTGCCTTTACCAAAGAACCGCTGAAGAACCATAAACGTAACTGTCTGATGTTCAGAGGTTCCATAGGGAGCTGACGTGGTCTCGGCCTGCTTGTTGATTTCTCCTGTAAGCATGTTTGAGCCTCAGTAGCGCCGCAGGTCTGGATGTGATCTCGTATCTAGAACCTCTGGGGAAACTTTGGGCTGAATTTGGGGGGGAAAGTAGAGTGAACAAAGACTGAGAGTGAAACTTCTAAACCAATCCAGTGCCTCATAAATGCGGAGCTCACAGTAGGGGGCACTGCTGCGCTCATCGATAGTAGCCACATTGACATGCAGCCTAATAATCTGTTGATAATCCAACTAATAGTGCAATCAGGATAGAATATGTCCATGTAAACACCTCAGTCGGAACACACTAGACTGATTGAGCCCATTCAGAATACAGTTTCTATCTGACTGATCGAGGTGGGTAATCCTGTAAATAATCCGTTAAATAGAAGAATAATAGCCATGTAAACACCTGTATCTGATTACATTCCCTATCGGAAAGTTTAAGTCCGTTCTGATCATGTTCGTCACGTCACAGTGAAAGTTTATACCGTTCAGCATGGCGGAGCAGAAACTGGTCTGCAGAGGAGACGAAGTTTATGCTCTGATCTTTAAAAGACGGCGGTGGGACAGACGTCCAGCTTATGTGTCTCAGAACACGACGTCTTCCTCTTGGCCTTCTTTAATAAGGACATGTGAAGGACGTTTTCCTGAGTCTGACATCATTTTAAAGGGATTAAAAACACAAGCACTGCTCACTGCTGCTCATCTCACTCTGACTGGACTCACGTGATGCTGGTTGTCATGGTAACGTCTACACTAAGCGGTTCTCTGCGCATGCGCGTCATTTTGGATCTGATTCGTTGTAGTGAGCATGTAAACAGATTTTCAGTAGAGTGTTGAGTAGAGTGAGAATAAACACCTCAGTCTTCATCGCTAATCAGAATGTATTCAATCAGATTGGAGAAAATCTCTGCATGTAAACACAGACAGTGTCTGATGCACAGTAAGCCTGTCGTTAACACACTGCTGCACTGTAAGTTAGTTCGGCTTAAAAGTATGTAGATGTGAGTCGCCGTTACATACGGTAACAGTTCCTTCAGCTACGTCAGCGATTCAGTAGCCAACTCGTTTTGCTTGTGTTATCGATTTTAATCCAGATGTTAAAGGAAAATACACTACAGGAATTTGGGGGCGGGGCTCAGAGAGCTGTACTCTTGTTAGCGGCGGATTTCGGAAAGAATCCAGCACCCACCGTTTAACGAGTTGTTCCCAGATGTGTATTCTCACCAGTTCTGGCAGTAAAAGCTCACTTTTTCATTTTTGTTTGTTATTGATTTACTTATGAATTCACAACAACTACCACATAAGAAAACAGGTAAAATGATTCATAAATGACCAAAATAGCAAAAAACGTCAACTAAAACAAATAAAGTATGAACTAAACATATAAACAGATAATATAAAGGCAATGAAGTCCAATTAAAACGTTATGAAAATTCAGTGTGAATGCAATTCATTTATTTTTAAAAATTTATTTTTGTAAATGTGTTTTTGTGAGTTGCTTTCGCAAATAAAATAAAGAATTATTCACGTTATTTAAAAAAATAAATAAAACAAAACACTTTCGCGAGTGATTTAAGGATTTCTGAAATAACAAAATTTGTCCCCAGGTTTGTTTTTCACCTTACAAATCAATAATAATAATAATAATAAAAATAATAATAATAATAATAATAACAATGATATGAATGTATTAATGTACTGATATTAAATCAGATTAAAGTTCAGATTTAATGCAGTTTATTTTTGTAAATAATTTTGTATTTTTTCTTAAATGCGTTGCGGATAAAATTAAAATGAATTGTGCGCGCGGTCCCTTGACGTCAGGAGAGCTGCGCGTGCGCATGAAGAGCGGAAGCAGCTCGTGAACGATGATGTGTCCGGTTAGAGTGACGGAGCCGCGCGAGTAGAGCCACAAATAACCAAACCAACAAACAAACCAATAAACGGGTCAGACAGACGGACGGAGGCTCGCGGGCTCGCGGTGAAGATGAGGCGGTGAGCGGCGCTCGTGCTGGATCCGGAACCTGTCCGCGTGAGTGTGACCGGAGGAGGAGCGGGAGCGGGGATGGCGGAGGCGGCGGGTCTGGCGGCGCTCAGGCCGGGCGGAGCCGCTCGAGTGGCGGCCGCGGAGGAGAGCGACGCCGCGCTGCTGGAGCCGGAGCTGTGCGGGGAGGAGGCGCTGCTGCTGCTGCCGGAGCAGGACGCGCCGTCTCCGGGGAGAGAGCGGAGGAGCAGGCGGGGCGGCAGGAGCTCCTCATCGGACAGAGAGGCGCTGGCCTCCCCGGGTGAGGAGCACCAGACACGGGCCTGGGGCCGATATCGATTAGCCGAGAACCGCGATAGTAGAGTCAGTTCACTGATTAGCCAGCTTCTTTCTAGAATTTCCCCGTTCCACCTTAACTGGTACAGCTGTTACATTCTGGCGCCCTGTTCGAATTTTCTCCGTTCCACCTTAAATGATGCAATGTTTACATTCTAGCACTCTGTACGATTTTTCTCCGTTCCACCTTAAATGATGTAACCTTAACTTTCTGGCGCCCTGTTTGAATTTCCCCGTTCCACCTTAAATGAGGCAACGTTTACATTCTAGCACTCTGTTCGGTTTTTCTCCGTTCCACCTTAAATGATGTAACTTTCACTTTCTGGCGCACTGTTCGAATTTCCCCGTTCCACCTTAAATGATGTAATATTTACATTCTAGCATTTTGTTCGAATTTTCTCTGTTCCACCTTAAATGATGCTGCTGTTATATTCTGACGCTCTGCAGTGAAGCGAAGTCCAGAATGTGACAGCTGCACCATTTAAGGTGGAACGGGGAAATTCGAACAAGCAGCTGATGGATAGGACTAACTTAAAAATCGTGGTCTGTTTATTTATTGTGTGAACAGTAGACCCTGATTAGGAGGAATGAGGCTAGAAAAACTACTATAACCGAGTTTTTAAGATTTATTGATTATTCTCGCTTATTGATTTTATACCAATCTTTCCAATACAATCTAAAAACAGGTGTTTGTACCGTTTCCTTTATAAAGGTGCTTAAATACGCCGAAGGTGTCCATATTCATGATGTGTGTTTGTGCATTATAGGGTTCCTTGTCTCTTTTGTGGGGCAGGTGTATTAAAGGGGAGTTCCACCACTTTTCCAAAATTCCGTTAAGATGTAAACAGGGTCGTTTAAAGAGGATTCGGTGTGAAATGGTCCAGATGTCTTTACAGTGGTGGTGATAGGAACCAGGGGTCAATGCAAGTATAGCCATTTTACCACCAGTGAACCCACACGTGTCCTTTGAGTGTTTATATGTGATGTTGATGATGGTAAAGTAGTGGGAAGTTTTCTTTAGGGACTATTTTGCCTCACAACACCCTGCATATTATTATGTATCCCTCCACCATCAGTGGAGTTCAAGGTGAAAATGTTCTGAAAACTATCATAAAACTGTGTCTCAGTCAGCAGGCAGTGAATTCATAACCATTTCATGTAGTAACTTTCTGTGAGGGAGCTTTTAGAGGTGGACGTCTGGTTCCTATCACCACCACAGTGAAGTAAGTGTCTAGAACGGAGCATTTCACACCGAACGACTCTGAACGACTCTGTTTTTAAGCTGCCTGGCAAAAGTGAGGAATCCTGCTTTGTGAAGTTCCTCCTCAGGGCTTGAAAACGTTTCTTTTTATTCGAACAAATACACAGTGTAAAAAGCGTTTATGCTGTATATATTTAAAAATGTTGCTTTAATAAGGCAGAGTTGGTGCAGCTGTATGGTTGCTGTATACACATCGAATTATAAGGCTGCTCGTCACTCTTGTGGGGCGCGTTGTCTCAGTCTCTTGTTAACTCCTTGTTAAAGAGCAGGTGTCTGAGAGGTTCTCAGTCCTCTGGGTGCTTCGTTCTACTTCCTGCCTGTTGGTGCTGCTGAGTGTTACCATGTGGGGCTGAAAGGTGAATCTGATTTATATTGAAATTGCAGTTTGAGAGCGCAGTTTTCAAACCGTATCAGCTGCGATTTTTGGTCTGCATCATCATTAACCTATTAACCCAAAGCTCGTGAACTGACTGACGATGAGTTAGACCAGGGGCCGCAACCCAAATGTTTAGAAGAGCCATTTTGTCCTATCAATAAGAATCAAAACATCTTGGGAGCCACAACATCCCGTTCCACCTTAAATGGTGCCTGAGGTGCCAGAATTTAACTGCTGCAAATCTGATTCTGCTGTGGAGCCACAGTTAGACAAATTGGAAGCAACCAAACCTCCACGTGTTGTGACACAACCACTTACTGGCACACTGCAATCAGGGGGTCAAGCCTCAGGCCAGAGAATGTGGATGTTCTGGTCTTATTGGCTGAAATTACAGGCTGGATCTTAATTTATAGAACATAATCGCAATTTAAATCACTAAAACATTAGTCAGTAAAATCGCCGTTAGATATTCTCCTCAAATCGTTCAGCCCTGTTACTGAGTGACAACTTGCCCCAAACGAGTGTGACTACATGCCTGAATGTGACACTTTTCGAATCTCATGCTGGCAGCAACACATAAGGTGTGAATGCCTGCAGAAGTAGCTCTGTTTGGTATGTAAACATACATCATGCTGTAAAAATATTTATTTGCGTAAATTCAAAGACACTGAAAAGAAAAAAGACCCAGTTTGGCCTGGATGGAAAAAGCTCACGTTAAAATGCTGCATTTTGACGTATTGTTTTTGTTTTCAGCCTCCATAATTGTGGACATTAGCAGTGACCTCATACCTAAGGCCTCATTTATTTATTTATTGATTGATTGATTGAACCGCAGAGCCGAAAGTTTCTTCTGCACCGATCAGTCATATCATCATGACTGCCTCCTTGTTTCTACACTCATTGTCCATTTTATCAGCTCCACTTACTATATAGGTGCACTCTGTAGTTCTACAGTTACAGACTGTAGTCCATCTGTTTCTCTGATACTTTATTAGCCCCCTTTTACCCTGTTCTTCAGTGGTCAGGACCCCCATGGACCCTCACAGAGCAGGTACTATTTGGGTGGTGGATCATTCTCAGCACTGCAGTAACACTGATGTGGTGGTGGTGTGTTAGTGTGTTGTGCTGGTGCGAGTAGATCAGACACAGCAGTGCTGCTGGAGTTTTTAAACACCTCAGTGTCACTGCTGGACTGAGAATAGTCCACCAACCAAAAATATCCAGCCAACAGCGTCCTGTGGGCAGCGTCCTGTGGGCAGCGTCCTGTGGGCAGCGTCCTGTGACCACTGATGAAGGACTAGAGGATGACCAACACAAACTGTGCAGCAGCAGATGAGCTATCGTCTCTGACTTCACATCTACAAGGTGGACCGACAAGGTAGGAGTGTCTAATAGAGTGGACAGTGAGTGGACACAGTGTTTAAAAGCTAGGCCCAGCAGGTTTTCTCGATGTGGCTATCTCAACCGCGTTCAGGGCCACAGAATCGTCCAGTAGGATGATGTAATGACGTAGCTGTTCACTAACTGGTTCTACGTTTATATTTTGTCATTATTTCAAACCCAAAAACACTCAAATAAGTTCGGTTCACTCACTCAGACTCCAAATACATTAAACAGAGCGCGATTTAAAGTCCACCATTCAGTAAACGTTAAAGCTTCGATCCAACACCAAATTCTAAATGTTAAACAGTGCTGATAACCAGGAGAGAGTAGCTGTTAGCATTAGCTTAGCTAGCATGCTGCCAGCTCTGCTCTCCACAGAACAGCTTTGATTCTGACTGACAGAAGCTTCACTGACAGAAGTGCAGATGATAGTGACTCATCTGAGGAAGTGGAGTCAAGCGGCGAAATTAAACCTGTTCTCTGGTATTTGGAGCTGTAGCCTCCAGGCTAAGCCAGTGTTAGCCAGCTCTTCTCTCCTAGTTAACTTAGCTCAGCTAAAGAGATCCAAACACCCCAGTGCAGGTTCAGTTTGACTAACTGCTGCTCTGATATCACAATTATAGACGATAAAGGCTTTTAACAGCGAGAGCAAAGTGGACTGATCGGTGTTGGAGCCCAAATCAAACCTGTTCTGTAGGGTTTTAAGCTGTAGCCTGCTAGGCTAAGCTAACATGAGCATGCAAGGCCTCCCGCTGCCATACAGGCTCAGTTCCAGCTGAAATCCTGTTCATAGGATAAAAGCTGATGTCTGAGAGCACAAAGTTGAATGTCTGGTGTTGAAGTGACCGAAAGATAAAAACAGAATTGTTCTGTGGTGCTTTGAGCTGTGACCTGCTGAGCTATGCTAATGCTAATGTAGTTAGCCGCCTGCTGGTGCAGCCCACTGCAGTACAGGCTCGGTTTCAGTACCTAATGCTAAAAAAGTTGAGGATAAAGCGTCTGAGAGCGAGTCGAGACAGTGCCGTTAAAGAGACAGTTGATGGGTGTGTCTGCTGCTGGAGTCCCGCCCTCTTTTCTCTGACTAGGCTGCGCCCGTATTATGCCGGGTGTTGATCTGCTGAGCCGTATGTCAGAAACAGAACGTGGTGATATTTCAGAACCTCTTTTGTGATGTAATATGATTCTATTCTCTCTGTGAGTGTGAGTGTGAGTGTGTGTGTGTGTGAGTGTGTGTGTGTGTGTGTGTGTGTGAGTGTGAGTGTGTGAGTGTGAGTGTGAGTGTGAGTGAGATGGGGGAGAAATGGGCTGCATCCGTTTCCATGGCGACCGCGTTTCCAGCTCCTTTGACATCAGGAGCTCTGCAGGTCCAGCAGAAAAGCGAGCAGAGCCTCACAGTGTGGAGCAGCCGCTACGCTGCTGCGCTGCAGTGTTGATTCGATTAAACTGGACAGTGAACCTCAATCTGACGTAGTTAAAGACTGACCTGCATTACCTTTAAATTACTGACCAAGATTACATACATTAGTTTAACCCGCTGAATGCCTGGGCTGTGATTGGTCAGGATCCTCACAGCATTCAGTGACCAATGCTGTTATTGGTTACACACTAACATATATATATATGTGTGTATATATATATATATGTGTGTATATATATATATATGTGTGTATATATATATATATATATATATATATATATATATATATACATATATGTGTGTATATATGTATATATATATATATATATATATGTGTGTGTATATATATATATGTGTGTATATATATATATGTGTGTATATATATATGTGTGTGTATATATATATATATATATATATGTATATACATATATATATATATATATATATATATAAAACGTGTGTGTGTTTAACTATTTTTGACAATGTAAAATGGCAGCCCCTCACATTCTGACTTTACATTTCACGATAAATGGACCAATATAAATGTTCGAAAGCTGTTAGGAGCAAATCATTTCTCTATTAAACATTGAGAACATTTTTCCTTCTTCTATAAAGTTCCCTTTTTGGAGATACAAGATTTTGTTTTCATAGCACACACACACACACACACACATATGAGGATGTCCATAGGTTTCTATTGATTTTTGTGTTACTGTAGCTAAATAATACTACACCTACACCTAAACCTAACCCTAACCTTAACCTTAACCTCAGTGTCCAAAAAGCAATTTTTCTGCTCTTTTAGTTTTCAAATAAAAAAAAGTAATTGTGGTGAAAACAACACATGCTCGAGTGAGGACCAGCAGAATGTCCTTACAAAAATTTCATATAGTCCTATCAGAGTGAAGTACAGCAATACAAGAACACACCCACACACACACACACACTCTGTAGAGTGTGTTGGCTGGTCAGAGTCCAGATTCCTCTTGAGAATATTTGGTCTCACGTTAAACACAAAAAAATATATTTTATGTAAGTTTTTCAAAGTGTTTTTACGAAGTGGCACAACTTTCAAGATGTCAAATAAATAAATAAATAAATAAATGTATCTATATATATGTGTGTGTGTGTGTGTGTGTGTGTCTAAGTATATATATATATAAAATCAAATAACATATCGTGTACCATAAAAAACTTCCTTAAATATTGCGATATTCCAGTTTGCCACATCCCCAGCTCTAATACACAGTGTATATAGAAAGAATGTTCACTTAATTTAATTTAAAACATTAGGAATCAGAAAAGCCACTCAAATTAACACGTTTGGCGCTTTTATGAACCTGGTCTCTTATCAGGCCCATCGCTGTTGTCTGTTAGCGTTAGCAGCAGCTGCTGCTCTGCACGCTGCACTCAGTGCAGACTTCTTGTGGCTAGAGATTCTCACGATTCGAGACGACCGTATCAGTTCAGTCTGAGGCAGTTCCTGAGCGAAGGGGGCTGACGCTGCGCTTGTTCGTTGCACATGGAGGTGAACTTGAATTCCCTCACCTCTCCTGTCTCAGCAGTGCTGTCAGAGGTCTGCTGCTCTCAGGGTTACAGATCTGATGCTTCTGGCAGTTCAAATATCCGAGTTCATCATTAACCCGATTCAGATTGAAAACCCTAAGCATGGCTGACTGTTTATGTATTTGTTCATCAACAACCTCCTGAAAATGATGTAAATCTTTTTTCTGCTGGTTGTGGTTTGTGTTTCCTCAGTTTTCTGTGGCCGTTATTTGAAGGCCGGGTGTTTTGAGGGTTTGAGTGTCGTAGCTGTTTCTGTGGCCTTATCTCTCTCCGAGTGAGAGGAAGTGCGCAGCAGGTTATGTTAGCGAGCGCTACCGTTGCAGAGGTACACCTGGATCTGCTCTCTGCACTCCGGGCTGGAGTGCAGACGTGGACGGGTCAGTGAGGTCACTACACTCACACGCTCCAGCTCTGTCCTCTCAAACGTAGAGGAGTTAGAGCAGTTTAAGTGTTTACTGAGTGAAAATGCACACATTAGGAATCCAAACCGGTCCTGACATCATTTATCATGAAGACATTATGAGCAGACTCGGTTACTTAATGACTGAAAGCAGATGTTTTTCATTTAGTTTTGTTTTTAAGCAGACCCTTCCCGTCATCGCTGTCTGCAGATGTTTTTGCATGATTTGACTCCTGTTAAATTTAAAATTGTAAGTTTTTCTTACTGCAGTGAAAACAAATTGTATCTGTCTGGTTTCCTTTTTTCCTACAAGTGTGACAAATTGCCTCATCCAGATTCACTGGCTGCCCCAAGTTGTCTGGCTCAAAGCCAAAATATGCCCAAAATGGCAACATAACATTTGGTTTAGGAGCTGGATTGGTGGCCATTGTTTAATCGAGTAGTGTCAGCTATACCTGCAGTAGTGTGTGTGTGTGTGTGTGTGTGTGTGTGTGTGTGTGTGTGTGTTGAAGTGAACGTTATCTGTGATATCACAAGTAACTTAAGCATGGAAGTAATTAATAATAGACAAACACAAGAAATAATGAGTAGCTAAATATGCATTTCCTGAAGGGGCTTTCAGAGCAAAAAATAACGTAAAATAAAAAAAATGTAAAAATTAAAGATAAATAGATTGATAGAGTTCTAGATAGAGTAGTAGAGGGATAGGTTTGCTAAGGTGGTGCTAAGCAGTCTCCAGTGTGTTGCTAAGCAGTCTGTAATGTGTTGCTAATGTGTTGCTAGGCGTTGCCAGATGTACAGGGTGGATGATAAGGTATTTCTAGGTAGTCGCTAATGTGTTGCCAGGTGTACAGGGTGGTTGCTAAGGTGTTGCTAGGTGGTTGCTATGGTATAGGGGTTGGTAAGTGGTTGCTAGTTTGGTGGCAAAAGAAAATAATAGGACTTGGGGTAAAAAAAAAAAATTCTACCGTCTGTGAGCCTCAGCAGAAATCCAGATCCATCAGACCAGGCTACGTTTTACAGCCTTCAGCTGTCCAGTTGGTCAGCCTGCACCCACTGCAGCCTCAGCCTTCTGCTCTTAGCTGACAGATCTGGGTAGTCAGCCAGTCTGACCACTTTAGTTTTAAAAGTTGCAAACATTGAACAAGAAAAGACAATTAAATTGCAATTATTTAAATAATGACCATCAGCTGAAATCTCGTGATTTGTAGAAACGTGCAGATGTCAGGTGTACTTTAAGTGCGGATGGATGTACGATATGCTCAGAAAACCGTGTTGTATATCTCGATAACAAAAACATGGTCCGTTTTTCCGTCTCTACTTCACGTAGCACCAGTGCGAAAGCTGAAAAAGCAGGCGAGAGAGTATGAATGGAAGAGTGCTTTGCGTTCAATGTTTAATGCCGGTCGGTTTGCTTTATTAATGCACTTAAACTCGCCCCACCTGAAAGAGAGAGTTTGTTGTGCTGGCACTGGGTCACTTTCCACTCAGTGTAACTGTACACCTCCGGTCCAGCCTCACTCACTCCACTCTATTCACGACCGTGTACAGTCCCAGTTAAACACACAGGCCTGATTCATTGTACGTTAGATCATATAGCTGCTCAGTATCTGTGTTGACGTTAGGTTTGGTCTCCTCGTTTGAACAGGAGAGAAAATAAGAGGGAAAGGTGGGATGTCTCGCCTCAGGGGGCCGTCTTTTAGATTTCTTTATGTGGTTATTAGGTGATGCCTTGACTTACTGCTGTCTCTGTGTCTCTGTAGGTAACAGCAGTGGAGATTTTAACCATTTCCCAGAAGACCCTGTGTTTGGAGAGATAGTGCAGCGGGCGGAGCAGGCCATCGAGAGTGGCGTGTTTCCTGAGAGGATCTCGCAGGGTTCCAGCGGGAGCTACTTCGTTAAAGACCCTAAAGGGGTGAGACTTCCTCGAATTTCATGTTTGCATCTCACATTTGACGGTCAAAGTAGGCTTGGGTGGTATCACGGTAATAAGGTACACTGCAGTGTATGAAAACTACGGCAATATTTAAAAAAATATAACGTATAAAAAGCAATGTCTCAGTTCGTTAGTTAACAAATGCCTATGTTGGCTAGCGTTGTTTGGGGGGGGGGGTTGGATCATCCTACCCACCCAGAGAGAGAGAGGCAATTATGCTGTCTTGGGCTCCTGGCGACAGATTGGTGCAGCACCTGCGGGGACCAAACGCACAATTGAACTCGCTATCGAATGCACCATCTCTTGATGACAGGGCCAGTGCTTAGTTGGTTCCACCATTCAGGGTCCCCTGTTGATTTTCATCACTAAGGTCAACACCTGATGTTTGCGAAACAACATCTGGATGAACTAGAGGCAAACAAGTGCTGTGGACTGATGGAGCAAAGATATAACTCTGGCATAATCACCAAAGGTACATTTGGAGAGAAAAAAGCAGCAGCAGCATTTGATGAAAAGGAACACCGTGCCTACTGTTAAGCACTGGGGTGGATCTGTTATGCTTTGGTGTTGTGTGGCAGCCAGTGACACAGGAGCATTCCATGGCTAGATGGAAGAATGGATTGCACCAAATATCAGCAAGTTTTGGTAATGTGACAGTGAGTCAAGGTAAAAGTAAAACCTCCTAAAATAAGAACAGAAAGACTCTTAGCTGGATACAAAAGCGTTTGCAGGCTGTGATATCTGCCAGTCCTGACACAGTATGGTGTCCAAATGTTCACACATGCCTCTTTACTATTTATTTTATTCAGACAAATGCTATTTTTAATAGTTTGCTGCAAAAATTACTTGCTTTTTCATTTAAAAAAGACATAAATGTGTAATCTGGGCACTTTCTCTCTTTTTTTCTGTCTTTTTCAGAAAATCGTTGGTGTGTTTAAACCAAAATCGGAGGAGCCTTACGGCCACCTGAACCCTAAATGGACCAAATACTTCCACAAGGTGTGCTGCCCCTGCTGCTTCGGCCGGGGCTGCCTCGTGCCCAATCAGGGCTACCTCTCCGAGGCCGCCGCCTCGCTCGTCGACCAAAAACTCGGCCTGGAGATCGTCCCTAAAACCAAGGTGAGCTTCAGGACAGGTTCCTCCTTTTGGCGCGGTCGCTGAACAGCCGCTATCTCAGATAAGACAGTGTTTCTGCAGCAGGCAAAAATAGTTACATTCAGGCTGTTAGAATTAGTTAATTTAAATCCAAATGTCTGAATTTGAATGTTATTTTTTGAGTCTATACAATAGATGAGCTACAGTCAGTAACTGAAAGTGTACCTGGTTGGTCATTTCTGATGAAATGGCCAGTGAGGTTCGGGTAGGGGTTGGGGGAGGTGGGGGCAGGAAGAGATTTGGTGTTTGGCTGCTTTTGCCTGCAAGAAATCTGGATGTTATTTCAAAATGGATCTAAAAATGTGAAAATCAATAGAAAAATGCTTGTTAGAAATTGAATTTCAGATTTTTAATCGCACATCAACCATAGCATTCGGTTTCGGATTTCTGTTTTAGATGGAATCATGCAGATTCAAAATAAAAATAACTTTTAAATTCAGCATTTTATTTTTAAATTATTTCATTAAAACTGTGTTCTTTATGACTGAACAGCTTGGCTGGGTGTGTTTGAGCTTTAGGTGACTGAACTGTGGGTAATGTAAGAGTTTAAAGTCTTTTATGCAGAGCTGATGCCTCTAAAGAAACATCTGAAAATGGCCAATTTTAAGAATTAAACAGGTTTGTGGTGACTTTGGAAAAGGGCTGGGCAATATGACCTGTATATATTTATCATGATAAACTATGTTTTTCTGAACATTTTATCAGAGCTTGAACATCTGACCAGCTGCCTGTTTCAAAGAGAGCAAAATTAGTCCTGTTTAACTGGATTTAGTTCCACATATTGATTAAAAAACATTGTGTTGACAGTTTTTGATAGTATTTTTTTACAACCGCATTTCTAAAAAAGTTGGGACGCTGTGCAAAATGGAAAGACAAACAAAATGCAGTGATGTGCAAATCATTCAAGACCCTTTTTAATTTTAAATTTTTTTTTTTTATTGGCCCACTTTGTATTTGATGCCAACAACACGTTCCAAAAAAGTTGGGACGGGGGCAACAAAGGGCTGGTAAAATTGTATAATGCTAAAAAAAACACCAGGTGGTTGATTGACAACAGGTCAGTAACATGATTGGGTATGAAAGAGCATCTCAGAGAGGCGGAGTCTTTCAGAAGTAAAGATTAAAGGGTTCACCACTCTGTGAAAGACTGCACCATCAAATAGTGCAACAATTCAAGAATAACGTTCCTCAACATAAAATAGCAAAGAACTTTTGCTTTTCATCATCTACAGTACATAATATCATTAAAAGAGTCAGAGAATTCGGAGAAATCTCTGTATGTAAGGGACAAGGCCAAAAACCAGTATTTGCTGGCCATGATCTTTGGGCCCTCAGGCAGCACTGCATTAAAAACAGACATTATTCTGTAGTGGAAATCACTGCATGGGCTCAGAAACACTTCTGAAAACCACTGTCTGTGAAAACAGTTCACCACTGCATCCACAAATGCAAGTTAAAACTCTAAAACACAAAGAAGAAACCAGATATAAATAGGATCCAGAAACGCCGCCACCTTCTCTGGGCCTGTGGGGAAGTGGAAAAGTGTCCTGTGGTCTGACGAATCAACATTTGAAATGTCCTCCAGGCTAAAGACCACTCAGCTTGTTATCAATGCACAGTTCAAAAGCCACTATTCATGATGGTCTAGGGGGGCATTAGTGCACATAGTATGGGTGACCTGCACATCTGTGAAGGCACCATTAATGCTGAATGATATATACATGTTTTGGTAACATATGCTGCCATCCAGACGACGTCTTTTTCAGGGAAGGCCTTGATTATTTCAGCAAAGACAAAGTCAAACCACATTCTGCATGTTTTACAGCAGCATTGCTCTGTATTTAAAGAGTCCAGGTGCTAAACTGGCAGCAGTCCAGACCTGTCACCACTGACAACATTTGGCACATTATGAAATGGAAAACACAACAAAGGAGACCCTGAACTGAAGAGCAGCTGAAATCCTGTATCAAACAAGAACAGGAAAACATTTCACTTTCTAAACTACAGCAGTGTCTCCTCAGTTCACAAACACTTACAGAGTGTTGTTAAAGAAGAGGTGATGAAACTCAGTGGTAAACAGGCCCCCGTCCCAACTTTTTTGGAACGTGTTGTTGGCATCAAATTCAAAATGGACAAATATTTTTCAAAAAACAATAAAATTTCTCAGTTTCGACATCTGATATATCTGAGTTTAAATGATTTACGCATCATTGCATTCTATTTTTATTTACATTCAGCACAGCATCCCAACTTTTTTGGAAATGGGGTTGTAAATATTAGCACTACTGGTTCTTTTTTGTCTGTTCAGATGTCTGAGAAAATATCATGGCATATTTTGTATTGTGAAAATTGCATGACGTATCGTGTCATTATATCTTTCCCACCTGTATGTTGGAGATGAATTTGGGAAGTTTACTTAAATTTTATTGCTAGCAGTTAATTTGTATATGGCTAATTTAATGTGTCATTTGTCGTGACATGAAGTTAATGTGATTCTGTCTCCTAAAGCTGTAGGACATTTGATTTGTGTGTGTGAGAGAGAAAAATGAACACTGTTGAGGAAATAAATGCATAAATCACACTTTTCCATTTGCAGGTTGTCTCTCTTGCCAGCGAGACGTTCCACTACAATGCGATCGACCGGGCCAAGTCTCGAGGGAAGAAATACGCTCTGGAGAAAGTTCCTAAAGTGGGCCGTCGGTTCCACCGGGTCGGTCTGCCCCCCAAGGTGAGACCATTTCACTTCAGCGTGGATGGGCGGGGCTAAACTGCTGTAGGCTGAATGGGCAGTTGTGTTTTGTAGTTGTGACCTCAGAACCATGACTGATTACAAAATAGGCTGTTTTTTACAGTGTAGATTGCACATAAGGACCAGGCAGTGAACATTAAAAAATGTTTACGATCAGTTTTCCATGACATTTGGTCTTTTAAAGGGGAATTCCACCCAAATTCTAAATTTCTGCATAATTTTGTGATTGAGTGTAAACAGTCATTTAGAGTGCTTTGCTCTACAATTGGGTTGTTTTAGAGACTGCATGTATCCCTCCACCATGAATGGATTAGTCCAAAATCTTCTCAAAACAATGTCTCAGACATCAGGCAATGCATTCATAACCATTTCATGTAATAAATGTCTGTGAGGGAGCTTTTAGAGGTGGACATCTGGTTCCTATCACCACCATTGGTGGAGTTGTCCTGTACTGGGTCATGAAAGCTTTGGCTGCTTTTCTGCTGTTTAGACATTAAATTCTGTCTAAACTCGTAGCTCATCTGAACACCAACACCAGCTGACAGATAAGGGCGCTTTGCCAGAGGAAGTGTCCTTTAAAAGGCTGTCACAGGAAAACCTCAATTATTTTTAAACATTGTTTAAAACAAGTTTTTTTTTCTCATGTTCACGTTGTCACTCACCCTCATTCTCTTACACGCTCGCATTCGTACTGTCTTTCAATTGTCTCAAAACTTTTTTTTCCATTCTCTACATCCCATAATTGTCTTAATATTAACAGTAATAACAGTTGAGATATTGTAGTTAAGGTTGCAACTTGCAACCAAAGTGCATTTCCTTAGGAAAATGCTGAGTGAAATGCAGGTGCTACAGTATTGGTGGTATTCCAGGTGGTTGCTAGGGTGTTGCTGGAAGTTTTGAATAGCAGCCATGCTAGTTGCTAGGTGGTTGCCATGATATCTCTCATGGTTGCCAGGGTGTTGCCTAGTGTATCATGGTGACATAAGTGGAAGGTGTACAAACTTTGGTCCACATAGTTCTGCCATTCATTACCCATTTATTCTTACAGTCTGTCAGAGTGACTGTGTGGATCAGATGAACATTATAGAGCTTTTTAAATGAAACAGTAGAAGCCATATCGCCCCCTACACTTCCTGTAGAGTATTACAGTCTGTCAGAGTGACTGTGTGGATCATATGAACATTATAGAGGCTTTTTAAATGAAACAGTAGAAGCCATATCGCCCCCCTACACTTCCTGTAGTGTATTACAGTCTGTCAGAGTGACTGTGTGGATCATATGAATGTCATAAATTGTTAAAGATCTCTCTCTATCTCTCTCTCTCTCTCTCTCTCTCTCTCTCTCTCTCTCTCTCTCTCTCTCTGTGTGTAGGTTGGGTCGTTCCAGCTCTTTGTTGAAGGTTATCAGGAAGCTGATTATTGGCTGCGTAAGTTTGAGGCGGAGCCTCTTCCAGAGAACATGAGGAAGCAGCTGCAGTCTCAGTTTGAGAGACTCGTGGTTCTGGACTACGTAATCAGAAACACAGGTACTGCACACGCTAGAGCTTCATGACCCCTGACTAACCTGAGATCACTATTCACTCTCATGGTTCATTGACCCCTCTGTATACAGTAATATGTTTACGTTCTTATTCTGCGTAGCGTGCAGTGTGAGCGGAAACATAAGCATGAATATATTTTCCACATTAAATGAATAAATGCCTAAAGTATAATTTAAATGATGTTTAAGAAAAATAAATAGTTATTACTTAAAACGGTTAAAATAAAGCCACCCGTTACTGTTGGTGCTGCTGCTGCAGCAAAACCTTGCAATGTGAAATACCACAATTTGCATTCTTTGTGATTCATATCATATTGTTTTGAATATTTTATTTCATATTGGATCCTATGAAAATGTATCGCTCTGTATCAAATAATGCGTAACCGTATGGCATCATATCATATTGACACAGTGTATCATGACTACCATGTTAGCGTGGGGTCTTACACATATATACATACATACACACACACACACACACCATAGCACAGAGTACAAGCTCAGCTACCAAAATGAATATTTCTTCGTATTATATTTCAAAAAGGACCTCAATTTTTTTGCAGCTTTACTGGAGGTAGGAGAAAAAAGTTAAACCATGATATCAAAATTAAATTTTAACAGAAAAACCTCATGACTCCTGAATAATGATTCAGAATGTGAAGAGTTGCACACTGTGTAGTGTCCGTTGTAGCAGTTCTAGAGCCTCGTCTGTAGTAAACATCCTCTTAGCTGTATTTTGCTCCAACTACGATGGGCTGAGGCAACCTAACCGAAGCCAGTCTGTTCACTCGTTTCCGCCGCTGTGCGTGGACTCGCCCACCTCGACTTTCAAACCTCCAAATCCTGCGCTCTGACCGTGCCAAGGTTCGCTAACCAGAGCCAACTGCAGAGTGTAGACTACACATGACATGTTAGGGATAAAGATGGTGGTGGATTTAAATTGTTCTGTAAACAAAAGCAGCTGTTCTGTTGAAGAAGCTTTGTGCCAGGTGCATGGAACGAGCGATCACTATGGAACGATGGTGCGTCTTTTCTATAGATTTGGGATTCGGATATTGGTCCATTTAAAATAACCAAAACTCATGCATCCATCATTCGATCAGTAATGCTGATTTTCTGATTTAAGTTTGATATCCGATTGTTTGTTTTGTTATTGTTGTTACTACATACTGCATTTGACCTGCTCACTGTTTCAAAGACCGTATCATTCACTCTAATGACTCCTGTGTTCCCTCGTTTCTGCAGACAGAGGAAACGATAACTGGCTGATCAAATATGACAAGGCAGGAGATGAAGCTCCGTCAGAGAAGGTACGTTATTCTTTTTCCTCTTCGTTCTTCCTCTGTCGTTTCCCTTTAGGCCTGTTTGGAGCTGGTATTGAGTGACATTACAGTGAACCCTCGCTCGCTGGTATCAGACAGGTAGAGCGGTATGAGTTCTGAAGTTCAGTAAAAGTGCTGAATCTTTTGAACCAAAACACCTGCGTCAGGTGACGGATCTAAGTTTAGGTTGTTTCCCGACACTTTCAGGGTGAAATGACTTTGTAGCTCAGTGTAGGTCACAGAGACATGATGCTGTTAATATGACAGCCTGTCACGTCGAGCTGGGTGAACCAGAGTTTCATCATTTTATTTATTTTTATTTTTAGGTTGCTAAAGTGTTGCAGGCTTGTTGCTATGGTATCTCAGGTGGTTGCTAAGGTGTTGCAGGCTTGTTGCTATGGTATCTCAGGTAGTTGCTAAGGTGTTGCAGGCTTGTTGCCATGGTATCTCAGGTGGTTGCTAAGATGTTGCAGGCTTGTTGCTATGGTATCCCAGGTGGTCTTTATAGGTGTCGCAGGGTCGTTGCTATGGTATCCCACATGGTTTTTTAAGGTGTTGCAGGCTCATTGCTGTGGTATCCCAGGTGGTTTTTTAAGGTGTTGCAGGCTCATTGCTGTGGTATCCCAGGTGGTTTTTTAAGGTGTTGCAGGATCGTTGCTATGGTATCCCAGGTGTTTTTTAAGGTGTTGCAAGGTTGTTACTGTGGTATCCCAGGTGGTTTTTTAAGGTGTTGCAGGATTGTTGCTGTGGTATCCCAGGTGTTTTTTAAGGTGTTGCAAGGTTGTTACTGTGGTATCCCAGGTGGTTTTTTAAGGTGTTGCAAGGTTGTTGCTATGGTATCTCAGGTGTTGTTCTCGGTGAATTAGTGTATGAACACAGTGTTTATTCATTAATCTACTGTTAGTTTAACATGTTAGTGTTAAAATTTTAACACGCACTGTTTACTCACCAAGCTTTACAGTCCATGTACGGAGTTTAGCCCCACCCACACACACTTAAGCTATAAGGAGTGTTTGTCTTAAAGGCACAGTAACAAAAACAGTCTGATTAATACTAAGGGATAAAAGAGAGACTGGACAACAGTCTTGAAGTGAACCTCAGGAAGAAAATAAAAGAGGTATAAAACAAATTAATAAAAATATTAAATTGGAATATTTCATGGCTCCCGTTAAGCTATCCATAGCTGAATTCCAGAGCATTTCCTATAATGAGATTTAATCTGTTTAATCTGTAAAAACATTTTTTATGTATTTATTTTCTGTGTTTTTTAAAGAGATTATTGGCTTTTTTTCTCTTGTTTAGGCTTAAAAGGCTTAGTTTTCTTTTCATTCCTCTCTGGTTGTCCCTCTTGTCTGCTGGTGAATGTGTTTGTTCTTTATTGTGAGCGTGTCAGTGTCACCTGCTGATTGTGCCTTACGTTCTTCTGGGTGTCGCTTTGCTTATCGTGTTTGTTGTTCTCTCAGGGAAGTGAATGGAGTGAACCCAAAGACTGTGCGATTCAGATCGCAGCGATAGATAACGGCCTCGCCTTTCCCTTCAAACACCCTGACGAGTGGAGAGCCTGTGAGTATCTCATTTACTGTCAGAACTAAACCTCGTTTCTCCATTTTTCTCATTTTTAAAGTTTTGATACAGTTTATATGTAAGAATGATTGTTCCTTCTCCTGTGAAGTTGCCATTTTGAAGATAAAAGTTTTGTGGTGGTTTCATATAATTTTTTCTACGTGTTTTGGTGCACAATTAATGCTTACATTGCTTATCGCTGATTTTAAAATAAAAACAGAATATTAAATGTCCACTTTTATTATGTAAATAAACAGCAGATGTGCAGTAATTGTGTGTTACAATGTGCAGAAATATGATTTGGTACATTATAATTTCAAATTTTGCCCTGTTTATATTTGATTCCTTTGGAAACAGGTTTTCATATGATTCTTTAGGAAACCAGTCAGTGCACTGTAATCGCAAATTTCACCATGATTCAAACTGATTTAATTTGATTTAATTTTTACGGAAACGATTCAGCGCATCATGAAGTTTTAAATATAGTCACAGTTTGATTCTGATTCATTACAAAATGATTCAGTAAATCATGAAGTCCTTAATTTCATCACAGTTTGATTCTGATTCGTTAGGAAGTGATTCAGTGAATCATGAAATGGCACATTTCACCACAATTCAGTACTTGATATGATTCTTTGGGGAAAAAAAAATCAGTCCATCATAATCTCAGATTTGAATTTCACCATGAAACAAGCGCTTCAGTTTCTCATCTCCACTTTCAGCTGAGCGCCTCATAACGAATCAGTGCATTATAATACCTGTAATCATTCACTCATTAAACCGTATTGAAAGAACTGCATTGAATCTTATTGATCATTTTGATTAGACTTTTCAGTAAACAGCATTGCTCTCTCTGTGTGTTTCGTTTTCTCTTTCTCTGCATTATAGACCCGTTCCACTGGGCGTGGCTCCCTCAGGCCAAAGTGCCGTTCTCCCAGGAGACCAGAGAACTGGTTCTGTCCCGAATCTCCGACATGAACTTCGTACAGGACCTCTGTGAGGACCTCTATGAGCTCTTTAAGGTACGCATCACTGCAGAAGCCTCATAGAGGACTGTAGGACGGTTCGATAGAGTGATGAAATCAGATATCGTGATGAATGAGTAATCTTATGTTGATCCTATATTGGGCCCATATTGGAGAAGAACACTGATAGAAATCTAGATGAGCCAGATTTAATTTAAAATTGTGTACTGAAATAATATTTACATGTAGTGCTGTGTTCTCTATTAGAGTTAATGGCTAAAACAGTGTTTTGTTTAGGGCATTAATAAGCCGTTCGTTTCTGCGGCAGGTTTCTAAGACAGCTTAAAGGGCCCATATAACGGTTTGGTGTATTATGTAGACCACATACTAAAATTAAAGTTTCAACGTGCACTGTTGACTCTCCAGTCCTAACAGTCCACATACACCGGTCAGGCATAACATTATGACCACCTCCTTGTTTCTACGCTCATTGTCCATTTTATCAGCTCCACTTACTATATAGGTGCACTTTGTAGTTCTACAGTTACAGACTGTAGTCCATCTGTTTCTCTGATACTTTGTTACCCCCTTTTACCCTGTTCTTCAGTGGTCAGGACCCCCATGGACCCTCACAGAGCAGGTACTATTTGGGTGGTGGATCATTCTCAGCACTGCAGTAACACTGACGTGGTGGCGGTGTGTTAGTGTGTGTTGCGCTGGTGTGAGTGGATCAGACATAGCAGTGCTGCTGGAGCGTTGAAACAAGGAGGTGGTCATAATGTTGATCGGAGCAGTTTAGCCCCGCCCACTCACACTGAAGTTAAATGGTGTGTTTCAGCCCTGGACTGCTTTTTGTTTGTTACAATACAGTGCAGCCAATCAGAACTGAGCACATTAGCATATATCAGTCTTAAAGGCACAGAAACAAAAACAGTGTGTTTAATTCTAAGGGGTAAAGAGAGGCTGTAAAATGATCCTAAAGGCTGTAAAGAACCTAAAAATATTAGATTGGTATACCTAATGGTTTCTCTACGCCTATTCATAGCTGAATTCCAGAGCATCTTCACTATAATGGCGTTTAACCTACTTAATTGTTTAGGCTTAAAAGCCTGTTTTTTGTTTTTTCTCTCTCTGTCTGGTTGTCGCTCATTATCTGCTTGTGAATGTGTTCTTTATAGTTAGCATGTCAGTATCACCTGTTGTAAAGCTCAGTGCTGATTGTGCTTTACGTTCTCCTGGGTATCACTTTGTGTATCATGTAACAGAACTCGTATCATGATTATAGAGGCTCGTCTACTGCTGTTTCTTCATTCACACGCCTCTCTTGTTTACAGAATTCCCCCATAATTCAGTGTGTGAGATGTAAACAGAGTGATTCAGAGTGGTTTGGTGTGAAATGGTTCAGATGTCTTTACAGTGGTGGTGATAGGAACCAGGAGTCGCCATGACTACAACACAGATATAGACATTTTATTTACTATCCAGAACCACCAGTGAACCTACACGAGTCTTCTGAGCTTATATGGAATGTTGATGATGGAAAATAGTGGAAAATCTGAAATAATAAGTTTTCTTTGGGGACTATTTTGCCTCACAGCTCCCTGCATGTATCCCGTCCACCATGAATGGAGTTTAAGTTCTCAGAACTATCAGAAAACAGTGTCTCAGTCATCAGGCAGTGAATTCATAACCATTTCATGTAGGAACTTTCTGTGAGGGAGCTTTTAGAGGTGGATGTGTATTGAAATCAGCGAGAATGTTCATAACTCAGACCTGTTTGTTTATAAGTGCTGTACTCTCTCCTAATCTGCGTTGTTTGCAGACCGATAAGGGCTTCGACAAAACCATGTTTGAGAAGCAGATGTCCGTAATGAGGGGACAGGTGAGGTCTCTCGTGTTTTTGTTTGTTCGTGTTTTTGTTTGTTTTTTTTTTATTGGGGTCTCCAAGTTAGATATAAGCTACGTGTCCATAAGTTTGTGTTAACAAGGTTATAGGTGATATTTTCAATAATATAAAGTCAACGTGGTTCCAGAAAAGAGTATGAAATAAATATATAAAACTTTTCTAATAATACGTGAACAATCTGGCTGGTTTTAAATGATGAACATCTAGAGTGAGATTCAAATCTAGAGCAGTGAGGTTCTAATAAAATTAACATCCAGAATGAAGTTCTATTAAAATTAACATCCAGAATGAAGTTCTATTAAAATTAACATCCAGAATGAAGTTCAGATAAAATTAACGTCCAGAGTGAAGTTCAGATAAAATGAATGTCTAGCATAATACAGTTAATTTCTGGAATTTGGTTCTAATAAAATGCATCACCAGAAATGTTATTTTACACTTTATTAACTTTATTAAAGCGTGAGCTCATTAACTTCAGTGATGCAAACATATGAACTAGAGTTAAACTTCACCTTTATTAAGTGCAGTAATAAATGCTATTAATGTTAAATTTACAACTGTTCACTTATTAACTTTATTAATGCTGACTTAAATATCATCTGATACCGTGAAACATTTGAACAGTATTGTGTGCTGACAGCAGTACTTGTTAGCGCCCTGTTAGCCTTGCTAGCGTTTGTGCTGTGTATCCCTTTTAAATAAACTCCCCTTCACCTGCTGCAGATCCTGAACCTCACGCAGGCGCTGAAGGACGGCAAGAGCCCCATCCAGCTGGTCCAGATGCCGCGGGTGGTGGTGGAACGCAGCCGAGGAGGCGGCCAGGGACGTGTGGTCCAGTTGGGCAATGCCTTCACCCAGACGTTCCACTGCAAAAGACCCTTCTTCACCTCCTGGTGATGAGGAACTGAGGAACCCGCTGGAGTTGGAGGAGAGGGGCTTCTTTTTGAGTTGGACTGGTCGGCACGTTTGGAGAGATGGTACCATGACGTTACGTGGTTGAGGGTGAAGTGGGTCGGATGGGACTGAATGAAGGTCTAAGATGGAAACATCTCAGCCTTTAGTTATTATTTTTTTTCTTTTTCTGAGCCTTTTTCTAGAGTTGTAGCTCGCGTTGAGCGGCGCCGTGTGGAATAAAGGGAGTCCTGTGTTTAAAAGTGTAAGTATAGCGACTGCCTTGCTCAACTGCCAATTTTTTATAATCTAAAATCTATGAATGAGGAATGAAGTACAAATAACTTTAAAACTTGAAAACTTTTGCTTGAATGTAACCTGCAAGTTTACATTTCACATTTCTCTTGGACGTCGACACCAAGGAGATAAACAGTGGTATTTTGATACGATGAATGTATTTAATGGTGTAAAGTGTCAGAATGCTGTCAGTAGTAAATACATTGATACAGTAAGGGTGGGCTCTGAATTTTGGGGGGGTAAAAAAAATTTCACTGAACCTGTGTATGCATCTTGAGACTTTTCATTCCTGCTGAACGGTTGTTGAACTGTATATTAAGCGACAAATCAATAAAAACTTGCATATAAAGAATACTTGACTGTGTCTTGTGCTCCTGTGTATTGCGTTTCTCCCTGAAAGTTTAATATCTGAAATAATTGAAGTCACCAGCCGTAATACGTCCTTAGATATTTTGTTTGGCCTTATTTACAGAGAATTGAAATTTTATATTTATATTTAATATTTTTTCACTTTGCCCCATGATTATGAAACGTTGACAAATTTTTATTTAAATCGTATTTTCCTTCTTTTTGTTCCTTCAGAGACCCTGTATGTCTATGAAGCCAAAATCATAGAACAGTTTCACACTCTGTAAAAACAGTAAACATCCAAATTTTTTAATCGCACAAATTTTGATGTGAATTTTTGGACAATTCTTAACTTCCCTAAATTTTTCATTTCAAGATGCTGTTCGAAATTTTGAAGAATTATATTACAATTTTCTCTTTGAAATATACTTTCTGTGCAATATCTAAGAAATGTTTTTTTCTTGAAATTGTCAAAACAAGCAGTTACCATCCAAATTAAGCATAAAATTCACCTCCAATTTTTGCACAAAAGCTGCCAAAATTCATAACTCTTATTTTCACATGCATTTTTGACCATTCTTAATTCTCTGAAGTTTTACTCAAAGATACTTAAATAATTTGGAAAATACCTCAATGTGGTGTGTTTGAATAAAAAATATTGCAAACTCCTCTTGAAAACAAAGTCCTCATCATAATCATCATCGTTAACTGCTTAGTCCAGATAGGGTCGCGGTAGCAGTTGGGACAGCAGGGAATCCCAGGCGACCATCCGGATCAGGTGCCCGAACCACCTCAGTTGGCTCCTCTCAATGCGAAGGAGTAGTGGCTCTACTCTTAGCGGCTCTACTCTGAGCTCCTCCCGGATGACCGAGCTCTTCACCCTATCAAGTGTAGCCCACCACCCTACGAAGAAAGCTCATTCCCGCCGCTTGTATTTGCGATCTCATTCTTTTTGGTTATTACCCACAGCTCATGACCATAGGTGAGGGTCGGGATGCAGACCAACCAGTAAACAGAGAGCTTTGCCTTATGGCTCAGCACCCTACCAAGTCTACAAAGAAACAAAGTCTATCCCTCAAATTTACAAGTTTACAATTCAGAAAATTATGTTGCGATTATTAGAAAATTAGTCTGTTAGTTATTAGTCTCAGGTCGGTCAAAACAAGATGTTACCGTACAAACTAAGCATAAAATTCACCTTAAATTTCTGTATTGAAATTGCCAGTCTTACCAGTCTTCAAATTCATTTACTTTTTCCTAGACACTTTAAATTAGTTTGAAAATGCCTGACACATTCCTGACATATTCTAACTTCATAACATGTTAGACATATTCAGAATGTAAGGCATTCAAAGGTTTGTTAAGAAACTGCTCATGTTGTTTCTCTCTGCTACGTACTGTAATGTTAGCTTTACTGCACAGATTCCCCTTAATTTACTTTTACATGGATGGAACTGAAAATGAATGCCGATGTGCTTTGGAGCTTCAGCTCAACTCAACATGACTTGTTCCAGTGAAAAAATGTGCTTAAATGACTGGAAGTTAGTGTAGAGCCTAACTCTGACCTGGAGAGAAAGTTCCCCTGATCCTCGTCTGCAGCTGGTGTGCGGTATTTTCTGTACAGATTAAGTGTAATGATGGAAAACACCTTGTTTTTAATGAAGAAAACAAACAGGCACGGCTTTGGAAATCACTTGCAGTCCTAAGTTTCTCCAGCTGGGCACGCTATTAGCAAGCAAGTCACCGTGAACCTAAAGAAGCTCATGAGCAATATGTTTGCAGTACCGTTTATTATAAAAACACATGAAGTAGCTTATCGATATTTTTTTTAAACTAGAAAATATTGCGCTAATTATTTTTAGATATTGCCCAGGCCTAGTATGCTCCAAACCAAAAGCAATCAAATATAATGAGTAACATTACTTTGATGAAGTAGTTGAAATAGCTTCATTACTTATTACATTTTAAAAGGGTAACTAGTAATCAATAACATATTTCAAAAACAACTCTCCGCTATAAACATTGCAATTGTTCATGTTAAGTTAGCTAGATTATTATTTCATGATTCAGTAATCCTAATATTATTAAGAAGAAGAGGAATAACAACAACAGTTAGTTGGCGATGAGCATTAGTAGAGTATGTTATATTGCACGTGATGTATTTTGTCCAAAAAAAATTCAAATTCCTTCATAAAATGTACATTTAATTTTGCACCAAATTTGCCAAAATATGTAAGGCTATAGTCTTACCTTTGTGTGCGTTTTTCGACCATTCATAAATTCCCTTGAAATTCACTCTAAGGCATATAATTTTGATGAAAAATGCCTGCACATGATGTATTTTGTACAATATTTTGCATATTCCTATGTAATATGTACATTTGATATAGTGCCAAATTTGCCAAAATACGTAAGGCTATAGTCTTACCTTCATGTGCGTTTTTTTGACCGTTCATGAATTCCTTTAAATTTCACTCTAAAGCATATAAATTTGAAGGAAAATGCCTCCACATGATGTACTTTGTCCAAAAAATTCAAATTCCTTCATAACATGTACATTTAATATTGTGCCAAATTTGCCAAAATACGTAAGGCTATATACTCTTACCTTTATGTGCGTTTTTTTGACCGGTCACGAATTCCCTTAAATTCACTCTAAAGCATATAAATTTGAAGGAAAATGCCACCATATGATGTATTTTGTGGAAAAAATTCAAATTTCTTCATGAAATGTACATTTAATATTGTGCCAAATTTGCCAAAATACGTAAGGCTATAATCTTACCTTCGTGTGCGTTTTTCGACCGTTCAAAATTCCCTTGAAATTCACTCCAAGGCATCAAAATTTGTTGGATAATACCTCCACATGATGTATTTTGCAAAATATTTTGCATATTCCTATGTAATATGTACATTCGATATAGTGCCAAATTTGCCAAAATACGTAAGGCTATAGTCTTACCTTCGTGTGCGTTTTTTGACCGTCATAAATTCCCTTGAAATTCACTCTAAGGCATCAAAATTTGTTGGAAATACCTCCACATGATGTATTTTGCAAAATATTTTGCATATTCTTATGTAATATGTACATTCGATATAGTGCCAAATTTGCCAAAATACGTAAGGCTATAGTCTTACCTTCGTGTGCGTTTTTCGACCATTCATAAATTCCCTTGAAATTCACTCCAAGGCATCAAAATTTGTTGGATAATACCTCCACATGATGTATTTTGCAAAATATTTTGCATAGTCCTATGTAATATGTACATTCGATATAGTGCCAAATTTGCCAAAATACGCAAGGCTATAGTCTTACCTTTGTGTGCGTTTTTCGACCATTCATAAATTCCCTTAAAATTCACTCTAAGGCATCAAAATTTGTTGGATAATACCTCCACATGATGTATTTTGCAAAATATTTTGCATATTCTTATGTAATATGTACATTCGATATAGTGCCAAATTTGCCAAAATACGTAAGGCTATAATCTTACTTTCGTGTGCGTTTTTCGACCATTCATAAATTCCCTTGAAATTCACTCTAAGGCATATAAATTTGATGGAAAATGTCTGCACATGGTGTATTTTGTAAAATATTTTGCATATTCCTATGTAATATGTACATTTGATATAGTGCCAAATTTGCCAAAATACGTAAGGCTATAGTCTTACCTTCGTGTGCGTTTTTCGACCATTCATAAATTCCCTTGAAATTCACTCCAAGGCATATAAATTTGTTGGATAATACCTCCACATGATGTATTTTGCAAAATATTTTTGCATAGTCCTATGTAATATGTACATTTGATATAGTGCCAAATTTGCCAAAATACGTAAGGCTATAGTCTTACCTTCGTGTGTGTTTTTTGACCATTCATAAATTCCCTTAAATTTCACTCTAAAGCATATAAATTTGATGGAAAATGCCACCACATGATGTATTTTGTGGAAAAAATTCAAATTTCTTCATGAAATGTACATTTAATATTGTGCCAAATTTGCCAAAATACGTAAGGCTGTAGTCTTACCTTCGTGTGTGTTTTTCGACCGTTCAAAATTCCCTTGAAATTCACTCTAAGGCATCAAAATTTGTTGGAAAATGCCACCACATGATGTATTTTGTAAAATATTTTGCAGATTCTTATGTAATATGTACATTCGATATAGTGCCAAATTTGCCAAAATACGTAAGGCTATAGTCTTACTTTCGTGTGCGTTTTTCGACCATTCATAAATTCCCTTGAAATTCACTCCAAGGCATCAAAATTTGTTGGATAATACCTCCACATGATGTATTTTTCAAAATATTTTGCATATTCCTATGTAATATGTACATTCGATATAGTGCCAAATTTGCCAAAATACATAAGGCTATAGTCTTACCTTCGTGTGCGTTTTTCGACCATTCATAAATTCCCTTAAAATTCACTCCAAGGCATCAAAATTTGTTGGATAATACCTGTACATGATGTATTTTGCAAAATATTTTGCATATTCCTATGTAATATGTACATTTGATATAGTGCCAAATTTGCCAAAATACGTAAGGCTATAGTCTTACCTTCGTGTGCGTTTTTCGACCATTCATAAATTCCCTTGAAATTCACTCCAAGGCATCAAAATTTGTTAGATAATACCTCCACATGATGTATTTTGTACAATATTTTGCATATTCCTACGTAATATGTACATTCGATATAGTGCCAAATTTGCCAAAATACGTAAGGCTATAGTCTTACCTTCGTGTGCGTTTTTTGACCATTCATAAATTCCCTTGAAATTCACTCTAAGGCATATAAATTTGAAGGAAAATGCCTGCACATGATGTACTTTGTCCAAAAAATTCAAATTCCTTCATAAAATGTACATTTAATATTGCGCCAAATTTGCCAAAATACGTAAGGCTGTAGTCTTACCTTTGTGTGTGTTTTTCGACCGTTCAAAATTCCCTTAAAATTCACTCCAAAGCATCAAAATTTGTTGGAAAATACCACCACATGATGTAT